ACACAGGATGAGTCCAGATGATTCCTACTTGCCAAGATTTTTTGGGGTGGAAATTCCTATTCTTTAGGAAATTTACTCGAGTATAGACTGAGTTTGTCTTTTATCCACATCTGATTAAATTCTGTCTTTGTCACAAGTGTTTTTTAACAGCAACCACTGAATGTGGAAAATGGGCTCTGTTTAGCACAGCAGAGCTGATTTATGTGCCCATCAGTCAGACTGTCATTATTGGCTTTCGTTCACAAGTGAAATTATCTCTGTAAAATAAAAATTGTTGACTTAAATGCACGTGCTAATAGGACTTCATTCTAGCTTATTTTCTTTGACTTCTGTGGAAAAATCCTTTTCTCTCAGGCTGTTTTTCTGGGATGTAAATGGATCCATAGATAAATCAGAAAAGGATTCACCTCACTTAAAGCAAGACTGTGCCCTGCTCTAATCTCCTGGTTTTATAGCTATATTCTGTATTATCTTCTGGTTATGGACACATATTTCTTTCTTGTCCTTTATGATCTGTCATTATTATGTATCAAATAGAGTAGACTGATGTTTTCTTCTGAGTTGCTCTGAGAAGCCTTTTCCTTCCCTGTCAGAGATCTGAGGTCCTACAAAGGAGTCTGGTGCTGCCTGAGCCTGGTCAGACAAACCTCCCGTCCTATGTGTGCTTCGGGGAACAGGGAGGTAAAAATAAAATGCCTTGTATTTATGTTCCAACAGGAATTCCTATTGACTCAAATGAGAATATTACTGTGCCTCTAAAACCAGGTCTGTGAGATTTTCATTTTTCTTTTCACCCAATGCTGCACAGAACTGGAACCTTCTATTTTTCAAGTACAAGAGTTGTGCTTTTCCAGATGTCTGTTCATTTGACCAACAACAACAAACATTTCATGGCTGCAGTGGTGCAAAAGTTCTGAATGTTAAAGCCCTTTGGTCTGGCTGATTATCCCTCACAGTCCTCTTGCCAGAAGTTTCAAGGAGGCTTGTTTAGGAGTGTTTTGGAAACCATCATTTCTTCTGTCTGAATGAATGGTTTGGCCAGGAAATCAATCTAGCCACACGAGTCTGCTGACCTCCCTACAACCGTTTTGCTTCACCAAATACCTTTTTTTAGACGTGTCTGGGGACACTGGTGGGAGGACAGCTCCTCATGGCAGACCTGCTGCAGTGTGGGGACAGCCGCTGCTCTGCTGGGGCTTGCGGGCGGCAGCAGCTGCCTCAGTTATCACGCAATGAGCTGCTGCATCTTTCCCAAAAGCTCTCTGTTTTTTCTTAAACAAACTGTGTTTCCAAAGAGCTCTACTAATGCAGTTTGCAAAGCACATATGTGCTAGTGCTTTGCAAGAAGAGCATGGTAACGTGTCCTCCTCTTCCGCTTGATCCACCTGGAGTCTGGGTCTCGGGCCAGTATCAAGTGTCATGATTAATGTGTTTGTAGCTGCATGTGCCGCAGGAGCGGAGCTCACGTGGCTGAGGTTGCCTGCAAGGTCTTTCCTGGCAGATTTTTTTTGTGTTTCATGTTTCTTTCTCTCATTTTTGAGCTCTGCTCTTCCTTGAGCTCCAGTCCTGCCTCTGCAACCATGTTGATGTGACTGGCTTTATGTGCAGAGATCATTCTCAGCAGGGTTGGCAGACTGCAAATGTGACTTGCTCACAAATGTATCCAAATTTGCAGTTCCTTTCAAAAAGGTTATGAGTATTGTGTGTGGACTCTCGGTGTGGCTTTTGGGTAAGGCATGTTTGGTAGCAGTGGGAATTGGGATGGTGAGATGGAAGTGCTTTGTACCAGTGTAGGGTGTGGGCAGAGATAAGTCACTCAGCATCAAAGGGCTCATGGTGGCTGGGGAGAAGGGAAATCCACGCCAGCCTTCCTCTCCCACCTCCCTGCCTGTTCCCCAGCCAGCAAAGGCAGCCTTACCAGGTAAAATAAGGCCATGTTTTCAGCCTTGGGTCGCATGGGCCAGGGAAAGGGTGGGCTCTGTCCCAGATGCCTTACTGTGCTCAGCCAGGGCAGCTCAGCAAACAAGGAGGAAGAAGGGGACTTCATATCAGACAGGGTTGCATAGCACAACCAACATGTAGTAACCCTTTGGTAAATAGCCTTTTTCATCACCAAAGGCATGACCTTGAACAGGAAAATCCAGATTTCAGCCTTTTCCAGAAGAGCCCTTTCCAGCTGGGAATCACTGGACAGTGTTAACAGCCTCCCTCTGGAAACCTGTGGGCTGGCTTTTGTTATGGCTGGTGGCTCTGAAGCTCTGATGTTCACTTTGCAGAGTATTCCTGGCTCTCTGTGTCAAAATTATTACAAGCAGGCAGGGTGGGCTGTGGGCCATCTTGGGACTGGGACTGTTTCTGCCCACGTGCTGCCTTCTTGGGAGTGACAGGATTTCTGACCGTCGCTTCCCCAGGACAGCTGAGTCAAGAGTGCCATGGCAGGAGAGGTGCTGTGTGTCTGTCCGTGCCCCAGCTGTGTCTGTGCTGCTGGGGAAAGGGGAGGGAGGCAGCAAGGCTGGGGCCTGACCTTGCTGGTAAAACCTGGGGTGTTTCCTGCTGGAAAGAGAGGTCCCTGCCCCTTCACAGGCATCAGGGTTCCTGGACTTGGCCCTGCCTTGAGCCCGCTGGGCTGAGATAGAATTGCCATCTCAGTAACAAACCCTTGGGGGCTGTCTCAAGCTTCATTAGCCCCCTACCAGATCCTTTCCCTTACCAAAAATTAAATTGGCGAAGTGCTGTGGGCTGGAGGTGGGGGTTGGACTGTTACAAGCTGTAGTAAAAACCTCTCTGTTCATCAGCTGACTTGTGGTGAGATCAGCTCATCCTTGGTTCTCCTCAGCCTCCCACTGAGCCCAGCAAAGGCAGCGAGTCCATGATACAGCTGCTCCCTCCAAATCATCCCTGGGAGTGGCAGCCCCACAGAGCAATCACTTGCAGCATTTCTCCTTCTGACTGCAGCCCAGCTCCCTTTGCTGCAGTAATTCCCAAAGTTAATCCTCCCGCAGCAGCAGGAGGAGCACCTATGGGCACTCCTCTCAGCAAAGCCCCTTGGCCAAGAACCCTCAAGCTTCCCCCACTGCCTGTGGGGCTTTCAGTGCTTCCAGGGCCATGAGAGCACTTGGAAAATCAAACCCACCATCGTGAAACCCTGAATTTTGCTGACGCAAGGCGCGCTGATAAACTCGCAGAGCATCACGTGGAGCCTGCGAGGGAGAACTGTCCAAAGCCTATTGAGTGGAAGATAAGCTGGCCCCTGACAAACATTATCTTGTGCTAGTTGATTTAGTGCTACTTCATGTACATGAAATAACATCAGCAGGAGCTGGCTAAACCCAGGCCTTTTGGAGATAAGACTGCTACTTACAGAGGAATGCCAGAAAATCCCCAGCAGCTTCACCTGGGATCAGCTCTACCTGGAACCCATCCTCTTCCCGGTTCCTCTTGCGCTCACTGCTCTTGTCAAAAAACAGATGATTGAGATTTTCTTCTTGTCTGGGAAATGAACTTTGACTTTTTCTAGCTTGTTAAAATTATTTCACTGTGTTCTAAAATTTAACCTTTGACCTCAGGTATGTAATGACTTATTGGTTTAACTTCTGACTGATGCTGTGTGTGGCTATAAAACATTCTGACTCTCATGGTCTGCATTGTGCAAGCAGGCAGACAAGGCAGGACACAATCTCTGCTCCGTGCACAGACAGCTGCAAGCAGCAGCTCTGCCCAGAGGGGATACGATCTCTTCATGCAGGTAGCAGGAGCTGCCTTCTAGAACAAGAGAGGTAATGATTCTCTACAAGCATAGCTCTCCCTCAGCATGTGTACAAACCAACATCTCTAATGGCATTTATTGCTGAACTGGGAATATCTGGATGCACAAATCTATTTTCATGTGTTGTAACTTAGGTTTTTGGTTTCTGCTGGGACAGATAAAAGATTCAGAGATAATGATGTAAAAATGTTTAATCACATCAGTTGGCTTTTTTCTGATGTACAGCCTGAGATGTTTCTTATAGGAGTGTGACAGTGTCTGAATTTTGTAAAAAAAATCTTCATCTTGGTGTGGGTTTAAACATCTGATAGAGACATCCCTGATAGAGACAGGAGGGAGTTTACCATGGTTTCAGAAAGTTGAAAGCAGGACACTTATTCCTGAAGGGCAATTGGGAAATCTTTGAGCAACTTGTTTGTTTTGGTTTTAAAGCCTTACTGACATTGGCACATCTTTGGTCTGTTGCACTTTGGGAGTAAGGAAGGTTGCAGCCCTTTCAAAGGTGCCAGTCTGAACATGTGTATCAGTAACTGAGTTTGGATGCAGTTCAGCAGAACCTCCTGCTTCCATATAATGAAACTATTTTTTAATTTTAAACCTTATTGAGAGTTTCCTTTGGTTTGAACAGTTTGTCATCTTTTGTAATTGCTCATTCCAGTTTCATAGTTCTAGTGAATGTGTGAACTCTTCTGACAGATTGCTTTCAGAGGCAAAGGAGATAATTTTAAGGTGCTTCAGAGTTAATAAGTAGTCTAACTAAATTGTGTCATTGGGGTCTGGAAACAGCTGAGAAACAATTATGGAACCTGACAATGTGTTGGTGGCTGTCAGGTCTCCTGTAGTAATCTACTTTTTGTGCTTATTTTGTTCCTGGCAACTCACAATGAAATTGTGGGAAGAAGCTGAGAAATTCAGCACTTAGCGTGAAAATCAGGCTTCCATAAAAAAAAAACTGAATAAAAACCTGCCTATAAAAAACTTTGCTGTCTGCGATCTTTCATAGGGACAGATAGTGCGGTAGGAAACGAGAGAGGTGTGTGAGATTGTGGGAAATGCCCTTTGCAGGGCATATTCCTCCCTCTGGTATGCAATAAAGCTTGCATAAAGTCCATAGGTCACAAACCTTTCCCCAAGGCAGGCTGTATTCTCCTGCTCGGTGCTGCGGGCGCCTGACGCGCCCCGGGGAGCAGAGGCACTGCCGCAATGAGGTCTCACCTGCGCCGTTTTCTTGCAGACGCGTATTCAGTCTCTTCCAATGACAACGGGGGCAAGTCTGACTCAGTGGCCAACTTACAACCTCAGCCATCCCTCAACTCCATCCAGAGCTCTCCGGGCCCCAAGCGCTCGACCAACACCCTGAAGAAATGGCTGACCAGTCCCGTGCGCCGCCTGAACAGCGGCAAGACCGAGAGCCACATCAAGAAACAGAAGAAGGTGCGAGATGGAAGGAAGAGCTTTGATCTCGGCTCACCAAAGACTGGAGATGAAACCACTCCTCAAGGAGACAGCGCAGATGAGGTGTGTGGTGGTGTTTGCTACGGGAAATACTGTATATCTCGGATAGTCTCCTCCACGGGCTGTGAGTCATGCTTGAGGAAATGCAGTTCTCTTAGGGTCTGGAGGGAACAGCGAATCATACATAAAATTGCATTGTTGCCAACAGCTTTGTCATCCAAAGAGTGGTGGAATATATAAAGAATGGAGTTTGCATCTATTATTGTCCTTAGACTAGGTTTGTTAATAGCTATTAGAAAGCTGCCAGGGACAGAAATGAAATTATTCTTGAGCAGCTCTTATCACTTTTTGCTGAGGTTCATATCACCTTTATGCTACCGTGGCACTGTAATTCCTCTAATTAAAGAAAATACTCTGAGAAATAGCCATGTTTCTGTTAAATCTGCTATGTAGTTGTACCTGCAGTTTTTCTGTGGGCATATTCTCCGCCAGAATGGCATTTTCCTGATAAAGTGAATGAGGAATTAAAGCAAAAAATGCAGAAGATACTAACTGAACACAAATTGAGGAACACATTTTAAAAACTGCACATCAAACAGTTCTTACTTAAATGAAAAAAATACTATTCTGTCAGCACACAGACAGATGTAGCTGTATGAATTACCTATAAACTATATTTCTATAAGCCTTAGAGTACACCAGGATTAACCAGCAAAATTGTATGTCTTTACTGCTTCTCTTCCATTACCTGCAATTCCCTCCATCCAACACAATATTGATCTGAAAAGATAAAAGAATCCTGTCCCTGTTTGTAATTATATTTAACTTTTCTCCAGAAGAGCAAGAAGGGCTGGGGAGAAGATGAGCCAGATGAAGAGTCTCACACACCTCTTCCACCTCCTATGAAGATTTTTGACAATGATCCAACCCAAGATGATATGGTAAGGCCTCCCTTGCTATATAATTTTTCTGTTTGAGTGCATTTCTCACATAGCTATGTCACAGTGGTTGTGTAGTGGTCTTCCAATATCAAGGGCCTAGACCTGTGGTTATAAGAGTCTCCTATGTGGAAATCAAAATCTAATACCTTTCTCCAAGTGAATTTATGAGCAGTGCTAGATAAGCAATTTAACCCTGGCATCCCATTTCATGACAGGTCGATGTTGTGCCTGTGCTGTGTGTGGTCAGAAGCTCCCCTCAAATCAATAATGTGTGTTTGCTACCTCTGTTTGAAAAGTGCTGTTGGTGTCTGGCTGTGGCAGTAGAAATGGTGTTTGGTGGCACCATGCTGGTGGTGCTAGTTCTCTGACTTTAAGTCAGGATTTGCTGTGGTAATTGGCCCTGTGGCTTGCAGAGTCCTGTGTTGGACTCAGGGTGAGAACCTGTGAATATGTCTGAGACAGTGGTTTGCATTCACAGCCAGTCCTGTCTGTACGTGGCCCCCCCACCCTTTCCTGGTGCTGTCATCTCCCTTGTAGAAAACCATCCTCCTGTTTTGCAGTTTCCTGCTTTCCTGCTGGCATCTGTTTTTAGCACTGGCACTTCTGTATCGCTGTCCTCTGATTGTAATTGCTGCAGGCAAAGAGGCGAGGATAGGGGAGATTAATAAATTGTCAGGAAAGAAAAACCAAAACAACCCAGAATGTTCTTGGGGAAGGTTCAGGCAGAAGTTTGGAAATACAGAGAGAGGAGGATGTAAATATTTCTGGGACTCAAGGATCAGAGTGATGGAGTAAAGGATTTGGGGGCTTGCTGTTAATCTGTCAGGAAATGTTATGACATTGTGGTGGCAGCAGGAGCAGAAGGAAGCAGCTGGAGCTGTGGACTCCTGCCCTCAGAGTGCTCTGTGTGTTGATGGCTGTCTGGTGAGGGGCAGAGGCAAAAGGTCGGTGGAGCAGAGCCCTGGTGGATCCATGCCCAGCACAATTGCTCCTGGCTTGTTCCCCATGGTGTTTAGCTAAATGTTTGGGGTTTAGCTTGCTTTTTGGTTTTGGGGAGATGGTTTTATTTTGGCGTTTTTTTTAAAGAGAAACAAAAGTGCTACAGCTTGGGTCACTATTTTTGGTGTCCAACATGCCATGTGATTTCAGTATTTCTTAAATACATTTCTGACAGCATAAATGTTGTGGAACTGAGCTATTTTCTGCTACAGATGTCTGAGCTTTACAGAGTGTTTTGGCATCCTGTTTCTTCACCCCCTCCTAAAACAGAAGATTAAATAGAACAAGATGCATCTGAAACCCTTTTTTTCCCTCGTTTTTCTTGCCCTACTCAACGTTTTGCCAGGGGGATAAGAAACTAAAGCCCACAGGGTACTGAATTTCCTGGCACAGGTGCACCAGGTTAGCAAAGTCTGAGCCATGCTGGAGCTGAAAGCTCTTTAATGGTGTTGATTTGGGCACAGTGTTCTGCTCGTGTTCTCCCTCTGTGCTCACAGACATGGGCTTAGGCTGGACCAGCAGCAGCAGTGTGGGGCAGTAGCTGTGGTAGGCAGGAGATGTCTGTGTGTACAGGAGGTGACACTTTTCCCTGAGTCCATCTGCCAGGCAGCAGTAATTGTGCCTCACTGCTCCTGGAGGCTCTCATAAAGACAAATTGCAAGATCTTTTCATATTAGAAATTCATAATTTGCTTATTGAGGAATAGAAATTCTGTATTTCTATTTCCCCACTCAAACCAGACTCTTGTCAATCACAGAAGTTTTATTTAACTCTGGAATTCTTGTAGGCAGCAAATGTTTTTGTGCTTCCTTCAGAATCCTGCAGTTATTTACTTTTCAGAGTTGTTGAGCAATTTCAGTTAAAATAAGTGAGAGCAACAGCTGTTTAGTGCCTCCAAAAATTGGACTCCTCCTGCTAGAATGGCTGTGTTTGGCAATTATTGTCAGTGTATTTGTCCAGTAGCTCTTCCAAGTCTTTATTTTCAGTCTTTTTTTTTTTTTCCCTAGACATGTCTGTCTGCATTGCAGGTGAAACAGGCAGGCTGAGCTTTTACATTAGTATGAGATTCTTGCATTACCAGCCTAATTCCTCAATTACCAGCCTGATTACCTGTAGTTTATGTTGTTGTTGTAATTAGAACTGTTGATTAGATGTATTATTTGTGAAAGACAAGTTGATGAGTAACAGTGTGTTCATGTTTCTGTTCTGTAACGAAGGCTTCTGGTTAGGATTAATCTCCTTTGCCCTTTTTTTTCTTCTCCTGGGGATGTGTCACTCAACAGGAGCAACCTCCCCAAAGGGCTGATGAAAGAGGTGGCCAGCTGCCTAACTCCTGCCATCACATTTCCCCATCTCCTTCCCCACCACTCTTTAATCTCAGATGCTGGCACCTGCACAGTGACTTCACTGAAATAGCTGCCCTCCACAAGACTTTGAGGGATGAATAAGCTTTTTCATAATTTATAAAAATTTAGCCATGCTTTAGTCTGTGTCAGCCTGACAGCAAAATAAGGTTGCCCAAGGACTTGTAGTTTCAGTCAGTGCTTGTATTGCCTTCAGAAGAAATGTATATATAGACGAGCTAATAAATCCCAATTCCCATAGCTATCAAGTGGGTTTGGGTGATCAGACTGAAGTTTCTTAGGACAGCAATCAAGGGGTGATATGCCCTTGTGGAGCAAAAACCTTAAACTAGAACAGAGTTTTTCTGCCCTCCTGTGCCAGGTACCCAGGACAGGTGAGACATGTTTTGTCTCCAGTGGTTGCAGAGAGGGAAGAGAAGAGTTACGCATTTTAGATGACTGAAGTTGCATGAGTGAGAGGTGTCATCTAAGTTCATTAAGAGTTGCTGTTGATTTATGGGGAAAGGATGGGGGATGATTTGTTCCCCCCTGCCTCCCTCCCCTATTGTCTGTAACTCCATGTGTACCTCGTGCTTAACTGCTTTTATTAAATATGCATGTATGGGGGAGGCAGTAATTTTTTACATCTGCAGTAAGAAAATCAATTTTCTGGAGCCTGTAAGACCATAGATGGCCTTAGAAGGATGAACCAACTTTAAGAGTGTCGTAACCTGTTTGTAAATGAATTTCAGTTCTTTGACTCTGTTCCCCAGTTCCAGTCTTGGAACTGCTGCAGGGAGATGTGCAGCCAGAAGTGGATGGCAGTTCCATGTTTGTCTGACATGGCAGCACTCGCTCACCTGACCTGCATGTGTCCCTCTCACCCTCCAGCTCCCCTTCCGCCTTCCGTCTCCTGTCTCGGAATCTTCTTCACTGACCGCTTGGTTTCCTACTCCCTTCTCATCCTGCTAACTTGCTTTTCCTTTGCCACCTGGTGTCTTGCAGTCCTCTTCTTTGCTAGCTGCTCGACAGAGCTCCTCCGATGTCCCAACTGCTGCGGATCTTGTCAGTGCAATAGAAAAGTTGGTCAAAACTAAGCTGGTAAGTTTAGTGTTGTGAAAACCGTGTACACAACAGGCCCAATGTGAGTCTAAGGAAGGGTTTTAAAGGCCACCTCTTGTTCTGGTTTCCTTGCTTTCTACCTTCATCTGCTCTGCTTTTATTAACCCCATGTGCTCTGCTTCTCAGTAGCGTCCAATATTTTGCTCCCCTTTGAGATGAAGCCTACATCTCACACAGGCTCTGCGCTGCACAGTCAAAAGTCACTTCTGGAGTGGGCTTTGCAGAGCATGAGCTACTGTACTGTACAATTTCTGGGGTCTTGTTAGTATGCAAATATTTTACACAGTGGGATGTTCTGGTTGTTTTGTTTTAAAGCTTGTTCTGAGGCACAGGAGTTTTACTACCCAATGTGAATTTGTTTGGTGTTCTGGTTTCAATGAAAAGACTCTCTAAAGAGTAGAAGTGCTTGAAGTACCACAGCTGTGCTTTAATTTTACAAAGATTCATGTGTCACTTTTATTCTGCCTTGTCAACTCTTTCTTGCAGGGAGTGGAATAAGCAATAAAAATGCTCAGGGATTAATTTGTTCAAAAATTTCATATCATGTGCTCTCACTGTCTGATCCCATGTCTGCTGGACAAGGAGTAAATCCTGTTTCATATCTTGGCTTCTTTTAAGTTGTCCCTGTGCAGTTCAAAAATATTAATATCAAAGCTAAACCTTTTTCTACATGTCCCAGGACCTCTAAAATTAGCTAAATGCTTTCTCTGAACAAGTTTAACATAATTAACAAGCAGGGGTATGATGAGCCTGCAAAGGTTCATTTCCTTGCATCTACTGCAACTATGAAGAGAGTAAAAAAAAATTTAAATCCCCACAGTGATCATTAAATTATTGCAACTCTGAGCAAGCGTCTTTATCTAGTGAATCATTTCAGAAGGCTTTGGTATTTTCTCAGTTTGAGATGTTGGCACATGAGGAGAGTCAGCACTCATAGCGTTCTTGGTAAGGTGTGAGTGGTAAGGGAGCTCTTTGTGGCATGGGAAACCAAGAGGGCTATTCCCAGAAAATTCACTTCAAATAGTTTTTTTCCATTGAGGGACTAACAAAATGAAAAGTATTGCATTAATCCAGTTAGACATGTTTTTTTGGATGACATTTTATTTTCTCTCCCCCACATGCAGTCTAATAGACTATTACAACTACTTTCAAGGGATTTGGGGCAAACTTTAATTATTGTGGAATCTTACTATGTGTCCATCTATTTCTATTTTGTGTTTTATTCTACTACAAGAATCCCCCATTCAGCGGTTGGCAGAGGAACTTCTAACCACGTGTAGCCTAACAATGGTCCTGATTGAGACATCAGGATATTTCCAGGTTGATTTGAAATAATTTGGAAGAGTTTTCTTTTCTCAGATCTACTGGAACATCTTTTACTACCTTCTAACAAGAGGATCACAACTCTGCTTTAAGGCTTTATTTGTGGAGTCCTAAAACTAGTTTGGTTGTGTTTCATGAAGTCCTGTGGGAGAATATTTCTGAATACTTTGTAGTGTTGGTTGCAGAACTGACTTGAATACTGATGCTGAAGTTCAAGGCAAATGTTTATTCTATTATTCTTTGGGGTTTTTTTAGACCCTTGAAGGAGGATCTTACCGAGGAGGCTTAAAAGATGCCACTGGCTGCTTAAATGAAGGAATGACACCTTCAACTCCCCCACGAAACCTGGAAGAGGAGCAAAAAGCCAAAGCAATGAGAGGCAGGATGTAAGTTATATTACTGGTTCTTTCCAAAATGTGTACCCCAGAAGGACACACAGTAGACTCCAGCAATACTTTGTAGCCAGTGAGTGAGCATGGAACTGAGAGTAAAACTGTGTTCTGCTTGCTTCTTGCTTTTCTTAACATATATAAACTTATTAACATATATAACTCCATAAAAGCACTTCCACAGACAGGACATTCATCATCCCTCTAAAAGGTACAGCTTTTACACCAGGTAGCAAATATCTATTGCTGTAAAAGCCTCTGAAGAGATCAACAGGTATTATTGAGATGTTTGCCTTGGTAATTACTGCATTGCCAGAGGTGAAATCAGCTCTCAGAGGGGGGATATGTAGTTGACCTTATTAGCTACCTTTGAGAAAAAGCTAATAAGGGAATTCCTCTAGGATTTTTGGAAAGAGATATGTTTTGCCCTCATTATTAACAAAGAAAGGGACAGGACTCAGATGCATCTGTGGTGGAAACATGCCTGAAAAGAAAGTTCCATTTGGGAACCCTCATATTCATGGTAATGGGAGAAAAAGGAAGTGGTGACAGCTCATGAAAGTTTGGGTTGTTTTTTTTTTAATTACAACCCCTTAAATTTAACAAAAATAATGCTTATTACTACAAAGCCTAAAATGATTAACGTGTTTCTTAAATGCATGTTCATCTGAAGAGCACAGAGAATTGGAGCAACAGAATAAAGAATTATGTGAAAGAAAGCTGAGGTGGCTGTTTCCTTTGTATCACCTCTGACACTAACAGTAACTGCAATGATCTAATCGAATGGTAGATTGAGGGGGAAAGGAACGTTCCATACAGCTTTCATGGGAGTGTGGTAAGGTGAGAGGTGGAAGAAGAGCACCCCATTTGGGAAAGATGCTAAGTCAGGGAAGAACAAGGAGGTGGTTAAGAGTAAAAGACGAAGTAGGAGCAAAGTGTCACAGGTGAAAGCCATCCTTGGCTCCTGCAGTTTGTTGCAGGAAGCCAGAGAGGAGATCCAGTGAGGGACTGGAGCAACTCCCAGCAGCAAAGACATGACACTCCTGGATGTGCTTCTGAATGGCAGAGGTTTTCTATAAGGCAGCTGTCAGCCTTCCTGCAGGGAACATCTCTGCCCATGATTGCCTTCTAAAAGCTCCTCAATGTTGCAGGATCTGGGGTTCCTCTGGTAGCAATTCATTAATTAGGTGACTGGCAGCTAACTGCAGGTTGCAGTTTTAGTGCAGAGACCTCTGCCACTGTAAGCACAGCTTCTGGCAGAGGACTGGCAGCCTATTATGTGCAATTAGTAGCTGCCAGAATTCCTAAACACCAGGATGTTTAGGAGCACCTGCTAGTGGCTTTCAGCACAAGACATCTGTCTCCCCTCCAGCTCCTTTGTGTCTGTGTTCTGTGTCCCTGCAGCTTGCTGGGTTTAATTCCATAGTCATGTGAGGCAGCTGATCTCCCAGCTGGAGCTGTGACCCTCCAATCCCCACAAAACAGCAGCTGAACCCTTGCACAGGCATGGGCAGCAGTGTCCTCTGTTCCTGGCAGCACATCCATGGCAGCAGTTAGCCCTGGTGTGAGAAAACTCCTTATTCCATCAGGCTCGATTGCTGCATTTCTGTGGGCAGTAAGACAATAGTCTTATTGACTCTCATTGTTCAGTATAGGTCTAATACAGAGTCTTCTAGATATCCAGCTATTCAGACTCAATCAGAAACGAGGAGGCTCTAACCATGCTCCTGTTCATGCCAGTTTAAATTCAGCTGTGTAGTCAATACCTGCTCGTGACCAGGGCACTTTGCAAGCAGCTCCCTGCCCTTGCTCCCTGTTATCAAAGCAGATGAGAGAATTTGAATTTTTGCCTACGTGGATCTTAGAAACCTTAAATTTGGGAGTACTTCTAAGGTGCTGATCAGGTAGGCTTCAGAGAATGAGTAGAGATGGTCAAGGTTAATTTCCTGCTTGGTAGGACGAGAGGAGCAGAGGGAACCCTGGTGCTGAATTTAAAGTAAGCAGTGGAGGTGCAGACCCTGAATCCTAGTAGAGGTGTGAATTGGCAGGTTTTGTCTGTTCACCAGAAACCTGGCTGCTGCACTGATTTTTAGTAAACATGCTCCTGCCTGCATGTCCTGCAATGTTATGCATGACAGGCGTGACAAGTACCTGCTGCTTCCTTTTTAGAGCAGAACTTGGCCAGGTGGATCTTTGCAGTAACCTTGTAGGTGAGAGAGGTTCTCCCTCCTCATCTCTCTGTGCCTGTGGGGAGCAGCACAAACAGAGGTGGTGCCAGCTGTAGGGTCCCCTCCTGGCCTTGCTCTGGAGGCAGGAGGGGACTGTGGAGCCTGTACAAGGGTACAGGGGGGGCTGGGCAGCACACGCCTGCTCAGCCACACGCTGCTGGGAAGGAGCAGCCTCTTGCCTTTTGCCTTGTTTGCTGCCCAGGCACAACTTGGCCGAGTGCTCCGAGAGCACAAGCGTCTGCTGTGGCTGCTGCCAGCCCTGCCTGCTGCCAAGGGGGCTGGATTTCACTCTCAAATCAACAAGAAGCCGTTTGACTTTTTTCTGCTGCATGGCCAAAGTATCGCGCTTGCTTTGTCTGAGCAAGGGACACGTTGCAAGCACATCAGGAGCAGGATTCATTTTCTCAGTAGCCTCTCATAACTAAGTCTCTCCTTGCAAGGTCAGTCTGGTTGGTTTTTTCCCCTCCAGGTATTTTAAACCAGGCTTTATCTTAGCACTGTTTACCCTCAGCCCTATCACTTCAAGTGGGTTAGTCTGGTGACTGATGTGGACAGAGCAGTATCAGACATGAAAGCACTCTTCTATCTTGTTAGCCTTGTTACTACCATAGCAAACTTGAGGACAGATGGAGTTTATTTGTCATGTGCCAAATCTATGTATTGGCATAATTGAGAGACAAACTGTCTGCAACAAGCTGTAACTTTTTGAAATTGTCCTCAAAAGAACATTATGTGATTAGTCAATTTGAATTACAAAGGAGGGGCTTGTTTTAGCTTGCTGTTGTTTGCATGCATCAGGCCTTCATTAGATAACTCCGCTACCTGGGGTTATTAGCTCTGAAATCAGAGTTAAAACATTTGACAGCCACATATAGATTACCTACTGTGAAAGATTAAGCTCTTAGTTATGATGGGAGAGGGGATTTGTTTTCTAAGTGTTTGGAACTTACAAATTGATACTTGATATCAATTGATAATTGATGAATCTTGGGTGAATACAGATGGACTGGGGCAAGAAATCCACTCCTGCTTGCTGCAAAATGGGTCAGGACACATCTCCATCATTCTTGGGGGAGCTGCATAGGGGATGGGGAGAGGAGATCAGGGAAGGGTAGTTTAAGGTAGAGGCAGCTGTTTGTGCTGCTCTTGCACCATCCTGAGATGTGGGGGTGAAGAGGGATAGCAGGAAAGAACAGTTAAGAGATTTGAAACTACTCTGACCTTACATGAGATGTTTTTGTCTTTTACATTCCACTGAGCGAAGGGTGAATTGTGTTACGTGATCTGGATGATGATGGGGTTTTATAGTGAGGTCATATGTGGTAAAAGAGCACATGCTAACATCAAGGAATATGGTCAAATACTTATGTGTTCTGTTTTAATTTAGGTTTGTCTTAAATGAGCTGGTGCAGACTGAAAAGGACTACGTCAAAGACTTGGGAACTGTTGTGGAGGTGAGCTGAAGCAAACCCTGCTATGCAAAATGCTTTCCCACTAAAAAGCACCATGCTGACAAGTGACAACAAAAAATACAGCATGAAAAACAAACTGCTTTATTTTGCAGTCTGCTTCCATGGTCCCCTTTTCTTGTTGACAGAAACAAGAAGAAATGCCTTTGGAAACTATTTTTGTTTCCATCTAGCAAATGTTGTATTTTAGGTTCAACTCCAGTGTGCAAAGGTTTTTCTTGGCTACCCTACTTGTGACAAGCTCTTTTTGCTGTAATGCAGCTTTGGAGACATTGGTGGAGAATCAACTTATGATCCTACTGCTTATTTAATGCTTTTCTTCCCATCATACTGGGTAATGGTAATACATACTTTACTTGAATTTGCACCTGGACTTATGTCCTGTGTCTGAGTACTTTTCCAGAAGCTGGGCCTGGAACTGTGCTGAGGTGCGTGTGTGTCCTGTGCATTATTGTTTTGCAAAAAAACCTGAGATAAAAGAGAGTTTTAGGCTTTTTTAAATAAAAACAGTCTTTTTTTTTTTTTAAGCTTCAACTTGTAAAGATTTGGCTGATCCCTAGGGATCACCTGTCACATCTAACTCAGTGCAGGGCTAAGTTTTTTCCCCAGCAAGGACTCAGAACTGGAGACATGTGATTCACTAGTGGCATTCACTAGCCCAGAGAGAATTATCAGTCTATCTAACAGTGATTTTCAACAGCTTCCAAACTTGAAAAATCTTTGTGTTATGCACCACTGGCAAACCTGACAGGGCTGTTGTGCTCCAAAGGCTTGCAAAGAAACTCTCAGGAGGTGTGAGAAATCCTGTTCTTGTGACTCTAAACTTACTGCTTGGCTTTGTGCTCCCACAAGGTACTCATGGTGACGACTGGAAGAACTTTATACAGTCTCATTTCTTCCCCTTACTAGAGAAGCCAAGAGCTTGACAAACTGCTTTGTTTAACTTTTATCTTAAAATTGCACTTGTCACTTCAATTACATCTAATAATGGTTTGTGTAAATACTGCAGATATTCTAAACAAATCCTTTAAAATTTTCTTTTAAGCAAACTGTATAGTTTAAAGTATCTACTTAGGTTTCTGGTTTGAAATTGTATGAAAGATATTTTAAGCATTTTCAATGTAAAAAATCCTGGCATTAAACTTTTGCTTCTTTGAAAAAGAGTGTAATTGTGCTCCCCCTTCAAATGAGCCCTTTGCTGAATCACTGATCCTTAATCCTAAAGGGCTTCATGAAGAGGATGGAAGAAAAAGGAGTTTCTGAAGATATGAAAGGGAAAGACAAGATTGTGTTTGGCAATATTCACCAGATCTATGACTGGCACAAAGAGTAAGTTTTTGATTTAGTTCCTCTTTAAAGACTTTTCTAACCTCTTGTCCATAGAAGATTGGACTATGTGGTGTCTGAATGTCTAAGCTGCTTTTAATTGAGTATCATCAGGTCATTCAGGGATGAACTTCCAAAGGACATTGCTTCTCTTTAGATTGTCTCTGTTGGTTTGTAAGTGCTACTCAATAACATCACAAATCCAGGCTACCTTGAATCCTGAGAAGATGTCCTGATTCGTGTGCTTTTAGCCACAGTTTCTCAGTACCCTAAATCCTGATGTGGGGCTTTGTTTACCCAGCCAGAACCAGCAGAACTGCATGATGGAAGGCACTGTGCTTACCTGAAATAATTATTCCCAATGAAGAAAGGACTTTGGCATGTGATAGCTTTGCACTGCCTGGCTTCATGGGAGGGTGTTTGTCAGGCTGTGATCACAGGTACAGCTTTATGCTGGCTCAAACACCGTGCCAGCAGTGCTGGTCAGTGTGACAGGGATGCTGCACACAGGAGGCTGCCCTGTGTCAGTTCTGTGCTGCTGATGGCTCTGCCACTCATGCTGGAGAGCCCCAACAAGGCTTCACTGGGAGGTACCACTGTGGTCCATCCACAGCTCCTGAGCTACTGCTCATAAGCACTCCCAGCATCACTGTCAGAGACCTGATGCCTGTGGGGTATTCCCTGGATCTTCAGAAAAGCTACTGGGGCTGCCACAATTGAGTTTCTTGGGTCACAGCTGGAGCCTCACTGCATCCTACTGATGGGCAGTAGCAGTCTGGAAAGTCATGGTTTCCTTCCTGTGTCTCAGCAACATCTTCACATGCAGCTGATTGGATCACAAAGGCTGACCATACCAGTGGTATTTGGCTAGAAGGGTGCAAAAATGCAAATTGCTTCAAGGTGCTTCTCACCTGAAGGCCCTGGCATGCTTTGGCCAAGTTGATGCTTTTAGCTGTGAGTTAGGAGCTCCATTCCTTGAAAATCTTACTTGCAGAAAGAGATTTTGAAAAGCTGCTGGAAACACAAACCCTGGGCCATTTCCCCTGTAACTTTGTGAACAATGTCTTGCTTATGGACAATATGGTCATCATTTCAACCCTGCCACTCAGAAATACTCTGCAGTTCCAAATAACTAAAATTTGAGCATGCATGTACAGACTTGAACAATGATCACTGGGCTGGAGGTTCCTTCAGCTCTGGACATCTCCCTCACCCAGGAAGCAGAGTATCCCTGCTGCCATGTGTCCCATAGGTGCTTATCTCATGTCCTGGGCTTGTCCTTAAGTTCTGAAAATGACCTTGTGAACACAAACTGAAAAATGTCAGAGAAAGCTTCATGTTATGTTAGGTTGATAGCAGAAGACTGAGTGGTTTTACCAGTGCCATTCCTTGATTAAGTGTGATGATAGGAGTTTTCTGTAACACAGTTTGAAAGATTCCCTATTTTTAGTTCTGTATATCTGGGTCAAGAAGTCTATATAAATGCAGATGAATGTAGCGTTTATAGAGGATTGGGTTATGGAAGCAGCTGCATCTAATGGTAGCAATGGAGATTTTTAATTGGGACATCTGTCCAATTTGCATCGTTTTTAGATGTTCTGGGATTTCTTGGGATCAGATCATTGCAAGCAAGTCCTCTCACAAAATCTGGTTACTGTTGCAAATCTGTGGAGGCATTTGAGACTGAAATCCTGAAATGAAAAAGAAGAAGATCATGGACAGGATTATTGTCTGGATTTGTCTACCAGACAGAAAAATCTAGAAGTGTTTCTGAAGTTTTCACCTCACTTTTAGGTATCCCAGAATATTCTTGATAAGGTCATTTGAGCTAGAATGAATGACCTCCCTCATGAAGCTGCAAGTCAAGATGGAAATGGTGTTCATAAGTTACTGTGACTATTATGAATTAGAAATTGTGATTTATTATGAAATTAAAACCAGTGACAAACAGATCATACCATAACTCCACCAGCAAAACATGTTGATTCATTTATTCAGGTAGTAACATACAGCAATCTCTTTCACATTGACCAGTACTCCAGATCTGCCCATGCAGCTGAGAACTCCTGGTAAAGCTGGAGTTTTCAGAAATTGAGTTTTTACAAGCATTTTGGTATATTGGGAGGGTTTTACTTTGGGAGTTCTCAGTGAAGGAAAGCACCTCTTGCAATTAGATAGTGATCAGCACTTTCTGAAAATTGAAATCACTGTCATAGTAAAAAAGATCAAGCGGTTTGCAAGACAAGACCGCCACATTTCACAGCTCTCATCTAATGATTTAGAAATCATTAAGGAAACCGTTAAGGGCTGAAGCCAAGCTTACCTTTTCATTTTTTATTGAATACCACAGCTAAAATGCCACTTTTACATCTGAAGGATGACTAGTTTGCTGCTGGGATGACCTAAAGAAATGTTCTGAAGTATTCTTATCCTTTCTTTTAGCTTTTTCCTGGCTGAACTGGAAAAATGTCTTCAAGAACCTGAGCGTTTAGCACAGCTTTTTATTAAGCATGTAAGTTGTATTTTGTTTCCTGTATCTAGTACAATTGCCTTTTAGGGTGTGATGGCTCCTTTACAAAAACACCTGTTTGTGTTGACTCGATACTTTTACATGTCTAAACTGAATTTAAACATAAAGTTTCCCTGTAGATACGCATTTTCAGCTTGGCAACTGGATTGCACCGAGGCATTAATCATTGTCTCCTTGCAGACAACTTACTTGGGGGGCAAGATTGATGTGGTCAAGGACATCTGCCAAAATACAATTATGGCAGGGTCTTGCCAGCTGCTACAATTTACATGTTCATGTGATGTTAGCCAAAGTATAACTCTAGAGGAACTTTCAGACCTGTCAGTGTGGGTGTAACATCTCTCACAGGCCACAACCCAGAAAGCTGCCCTTGCCTAAGGGCGGATGTGGAGAACAGAACCAGTTACCAATTCTCTTTCCTGCTTTAGCGAACTAAATCGTTGATTAAACCAAAAATCAGGAAGACCAAGCAGAATATCATAGAAACTTTCTGCCACCTTTTAATAACAGAAGGGTAGCCAGAGTCTCATGTGGCTGCTGTGCCTCTTGCCTTCACAGGAGCGGCGATTGCACATGTACGTGGTGTATTGCCAAAACAAGCCCCGGTCTGAGTATATAGTAGCTGAGTATGAGACGTACTTTGAGGTAAGCACAGCTTATTATACATTATTACTGCTTCCAGCTGTGAGTCCAGGTCAAGGAGACTGTTCAGTAACCTATGGGGGTTTGCCTAAAACAAACTCCTGAAAATATTGATACAGCATGTGGTGCTGCAGTCTCTGCTGTATGGAGAAAGTGTTAATGTTTAATTGCTTTCAAATTCTCATATTGTGAATTTCTAATAAACATTTAAATCAGTACTAACTGTGTGTGGCCCTCAGGGTACCAGAAATGCACTAGTTTCTGTTCCAAGTAAAACAAGACTTTCAAATCAGTAGTGTACAAACAAGAGGAAGAGGTAAAAGCTGTTGGAGCTGGGTGGTGCCTCTCATAAATCCTCAGTAACTCTGTCCATTTCAAGAAGTCTTTGGGACTAGACACATTTCAATAGTAATGTGAAAGAAGCTTGTTTAACAAGGGAAAGATTGAAAGGAAGCAGAGCAGGAGGCCTGTTCTGCAGGACTCACTCGTGAGCTAATCCCCAGTGCAGTGGGAAGAGTGACCCTGCAGGGCTGCTCGCTCAGCTCGGAGAGGGAGGGACCCTGCGCTTCCCAACGCCTTCCCGCTCCCTCACTCCTACCCAGGCCTTGCCTAAATAGGATATGCCAGATCTTTAAATCCTCAGAAATTCCCCCTTGCAAACAAAAGATTAAGAACAGACCAACTTTCTGTGGAAATAAGTCTCTGCTGAGACGTTTTATCATGTTGTCTGTCTTACTCTGTGATTGTTTGCAACTGTTTTTAATCCTCATTTTTTAGGAGGTTCAGCAGGAAATAAGCCAGCGGCTGACCATCAGTGACTTTCTGATTAAACCCATTCAAAGAATAACTAAATACCAGCTTCTTCTCAAGGTGGGTGAAAAAATACAGTTTGGATTAAACTCTAGTCTGCATGTTGCATTAGATGTTGACATTTTAAATCAGCCTTAGACTTAACTGAGGAGTAAATTCATCAAATTAAGAGGAAAGAGGGGTCTACTCTCAGGGCATGCAGTGACAGAGACCTGTGAAAATGTCCAGTGACAGAGGCCACATCTGTGTAAGTGGTTGTAATTTAGGATAGTAAACTGACTTATTTTTTTTTTAACTTTCTTTTGGAATTTTTCTATAGACGGGTACATTTCAAATAGGGATTTTCTTCCTCTGGAGTTTCAGAGTAAACTTTCAATTTTTTTTTTAAATTGGAACAAAGATACAGAAGTGTATTGCTAAAGGCTGTCTTAGGTGCAGAATGGCATGCTTCTAGTAAATGCTATAGCCTCCGTTTCTAAATATCTGTCTCGAAATTAGCTGAAGAAACTTATTTTCAGAATATTCTGTCATCTTAAAATTTGAGGAGCTCACCACAATTTTTTTCCCAAGGAGCTTGACCACTCTGGTTTATGTTTATCCATAATGATAATTGGACTTATCCATAATGATAATTGCTCAGCACCCTTGAAAATTCATCCCAGGGGGTCTGAAGCCAATATCTAAAATCAGGCATGTCTGAACCCATCCTATAATCTCCAGCAGCACTGGGCTCTGAGCTGGTTTCTCCTCTTTTTTGAACTATACTCCAGCAGGCTGCCATCAGCCCAGGTTTGGGAATTGCACACTAGCAAAAGCACAGCAGTGTGTTCCCCAAAATGCCAAAAAGAAAAGTCTTTGTGTGTGTGTGTGTGTGTGTGTGTGTGGTCTTGTGGCTTAAGACAGGGACCAAATAAGCATTCCCAAGGTCTAACCCCAGCTTTGTGTTTTTTTCTGTGATCTTCTCAAAAATCATCCACACCCCTCTTCCATTTTTCTAAAGTGGTCAGGACATTCAGCAACCTCTGAAAATGAATTTATTAATATTAGCAAGTTTCTTCTCAGAAAATCACATGCTGAATATGCTTTTTCCTTTTCAAACTGGTACCTTTTGTTCTTTTCTGAAGTGCCTTAATGCAAACCTTTCTGCTTTCTCCAGGACTTCCTGAGGTACAGTGAAAAAGCTGGTCTGGAGTGCTCCGAGATAGAGGTACATTTTCCTGCCCTGGACAATAGGGCTAATGGGACTTTGTGTGGAGAAATGAAAACCCCAGTATTCCTTTGACAATAGCTGAAGGTCCTGCTGCTGTTCTAAATGTGGTATTTCTCTTAGCTTAAATCAGAACTAAAAGATGATGGCGCAATCCTGCATTTTAGTCCTGCACCATCCTCTTTTAGTTATCTATTCATGAGGGCCTTGCCATGAGTCACTCCAGCAATCGTGCTATTGAACTTCATTATTTGAAACTGTGCTTTCAGGAACCCTCTGGTTCTCTTGTAATAATGCACATCCCTTTTCCTCAACAGAAAGCAGTTGAATTAATGTGCCTTGTACCAAAACGTTGCAATGACATGATGAACCTGGGTCGCCTCCAAGGCTTTGAGGTACGCATTTGCATTCTTCTTATAATAATAACTAGGCAAGGAAAATTACTTTCTCTTTCTGTGATTGTCTCTTCAGTCTACGCAAACTACTTATCTAGGGCTTGTTCTTCTGCAGTGCTGAGCTGCATGCTTGGTGAGGTTTCAAAGGTGGGGGAGTGACACACCTCTCACTCTAAACGTGTGACAATTCATATTGTTTCTTCAAAATGTGAGGTCTGTAAACGCTTCTGCAAGCTTTAATGAGACTTATTCTATCTATTACCAGAGCAAAATAAGTGATGAACCAGCCTGCTCTGACTATTAGTAAGGTCACCTGCATTACCACGATAACAGCTCCTGCCAAGTTCAGCAACATCCAGGAGGGGATTTCAGAGCTACAGCCCCACAGGGTACAGCCTGTGGCTTGTAACTAAGCCAGTGTAGGTTTTGGGGAGAGGTCTTATATCCAAAATGAATTAAGATTTGTCTTGCTGTCTTATGCACTGCAAACAGGTAGGTCCTGGCCTTTGCACGTTCAGAGGTCAGTGACTGCTGGCTTAGGGCATGATGGAGAGCTCTTGGCTGGAGCACTACAGGAACATAATGAGAACAGGATTTGAAATTAAATGTATAAAACAGTCTGCTTGGGACTGCTTGCTTTTGGTTTTATATACACAGTGGCAATGAGAGCAAGGAGAACCTACGTTGTTTGTCTTTAGCTGAGGTCACAGGATTGCTGCTTTGGTAACTTAGAGGGGATACATCTCACATGAATGCAGGGCTGCCTGGAAAACTTGGGCTGCATGAAATAGAGCATATCACCTTGTGGGTCAGGGTTTGTAATGCTGGTGCCTTGTCTGCTTCCCAGGGCAAACTGACAGCTCAAGGCAAGCTGCTGCAGCAGGACACCTTCTACGTGACAGAGCAGGATTCCGGGGTTCAGTCTCGACCCAAGGAGCGCAGGGTGTTTCTCTTTGAGCAAATAGTTATCTTCAGTGAACTCCTTAGAAAAGGATCTCTAACGCCAGGCTACATGTTCAAGAAAAGCATAAAGGTAAGAAACACAGAGGGAGAAGCATATTCTGCTTGATGGTCATGTAAGGTTCATCCTGTAACAGGAGACAGCAATGAAAGAAAACCAAACAAACATTTGCATTTACCTTTCAGGGGATCAGAAGCTGTTTAAAACCATTTCTAAATAAACCACTGGATGTCTAAATTTATTGGGTAGTTTTTACAAGGAGCACAACCAGGGCAGGTCCTCTATCATTCATAGCTCTGAATTAGCAAATATTGCTACAAAACCTGCAGTAGTCAAAGGAAGTTTACAATGGTTGATTTTATGCATGATCATAAAAGATAAATGAAGGTACAGTATCCAAAACAGCCATTTTAGGCCAAACTATAAGTCAATACTTAGCCTTTACGTGGTATTTCTGGAAATACTCTTCCTAATTTGGGTGAGGGCTCTTAGTACAAATACGGATGTTGCAAGAACGTTTCAAAGACAAAACCACACATAATTCTAAAAATACAGCTGTGAGGAATTATAAAACCAGCTAAACTATAAAGAGAGTTCTGAGAAATTAATTTTGGTTTTAAATAATCTGTCCAGATTATGGGACCAAGGCTAAAAGTAAAAACTGAAAGTAACATTTATTTAATTATTTAATTATGCATGATTAAATTTTATTATTATTAATTATTTATTTAAACAAATACTTCTTTATTTAAAAAATGCAAAGTTTACCTGTGAAATGGTCATTGAAGGTGCATAAGTGCTGCACATCTCCTGGTAAAACAACCTTTGCTGTGCCTGCAGAAAGAGCAAAATCATTGATTCATTTGAATTTCTGGGTTGTTCAAAGCTGAGAAACCAGTCTGGCATTGATTTCCTTTTCAAAGATACAGGTTAAGAGACATGGGAGAATGCATTGTGTTTGCTCTACATTTTAAATGGTGCATTAATATGAAATAGAAGAGAACATTATCAGCTGAAATAATGCATATTAACATATATAACTAAACAAACTTACAGTAAACAGCGTATTTACTGAAATGAGGTCTTCTTGGCTGATGGAAACAGCAGCATTTACTGAAAAGCCTATATCCATTTGCAAGTCAGTGTATTTTATAGTTTCCAACCAAATAATAGGCTATAAAGGGAAAAGCCAAAGTGTACAAATAAACAATCATCTTGATTTAGTTGATCAGATTTGATTTTATCTTTTTGCTGATTTAAATCATTATTAAAATTGGAGATGGAAATAGTATGAATCATTTTTACTTCAGTTTATTGTATATATAACAATGAGGCTTTTATCTGCAGGAAACAATTCCTGAATTGTATATTGTAGATAAAGAGAGAAAAATAAATCTCTCCTAATGTCAATAAAATTATCTTGCCTCAAGGGTATGAGTTGCTTTTCTAGTTATACAGCCTCCAAAAGGAATGCTGTTCCCACTGCCCAAGTTTAAATTTTTCATGTGGTAATTTTCCAGCCCCTTCTCTTCCACTTGGCAAACAGCTCATTCTCCTGTTGAGTGTCTACTGCAAGTGTGGGAGCCCCTGTGGCTCCATGTGTGTCTCCCCCACCTCAGCATGGAATCTGAGTGCCAGCAGCTCTCACACCTTCCTTCCCAGCCTCCACTTCAGCTTCCCACTGCTTTTGCATTTGTCTGTTTCCCACAGAGAAGAGCTGTGGCTCCCAGTGAAGCAGGACCATTCCCTGCCCCCCTGAGCTCTGAGCATCCTCACCCCACAGTGGGGCCTCCACCTGATCCTGTTTCTTTCCTCTGTCACAGCCACAAAGTGCAGCTGTTCTGGTTTGCCAGTGAGATGGGACTCCCAGATATTGTTCTCCAAGGTCTGTCACACTCAAACTGTGACAGAAGCTTCAGCATCTTGTCCTGCATTAGTGAAGAACCCTCTTTTACACAATAAGGTCCTTAGTGTTGAGGAATGGCACATCCCTTCTCAGATACTTCTCAGCTGGATACCTTTCAGGCTCTCAAAATACCCGAGTGGAAGCCTTGATGAATGCATCTCCCTGAGACATGAGGTTAGGGGACAGTACACATCTTTTACCTGGAGTCATACCAGGATTAGTTTGGCTATCAACCAGAGAAAAATGAGCTCAGAACAGGAGCAAGAACACTGTCTGGGCTCACCTGCATGTCCTTGTCCTTTCCTTGTCCTCATGGCAGGGGAGTTCCTGCTTGTCACTGTAACTTCATCGAGACTCCCAGAAGCAAAGGAAGATGCTAATTCCATCTTGCAGTTTGAGTTCTGGACAGTATCCTGATGTGGAGTGGATCTTCATACCTTGACAGATACTCAGAGCAATTGGAGATGGGACACCACTGCCTTAGTCTTCAGAGCCATCTGCTTTTGACATGAAGACATTCCCTCTCTTGTTTTTTTTGGGAGGCTATGCCAACTTATTCTTGTTTACTACCCTAAACATCTCAGAAAAAGCTAAAGTTATGAGTACACTTAAAACAGAAGCCTCCCAAAGGCAGGACAGGACAGCAGCCAAAATTCCTATCCCTGTGATTCCCAGAAAGACTATCTGTGACTACAGTCAAGTGAAGTGATTGCACACAGAGGACTCTAATCTGCTAGAAATAAGATCTGTTGGAGCATCATAGGAGAATTGTTTTTTTTTTTTTTCATTTTATATCCCTGTGCACAGTCCATTCCATTTTTAAAATGTGCTAATGACTAAGATTTTCTTTTCAGAGGACAAGAAATATAAACAATTATTTAAATTGGAGGAATTATAGACTTTATTAACATATTAATAGGAACATTTTTGCTCTATTTATGGGTTTCAGTAAATTTAAAGCACATCAGTCAGGTCTGTGTTCCTTAAAATAGAAGTTGTAATTCAAGACAAGGCGGGTGGATGTCTGGTACATCTGTCAGAGCTTTATTAAGCGTCATATTTAAGATTTAGATTTATCTGAGGCTATCTAGATGAGACAAATTCTTATTATTATGATCTAATATTTTGTTATTGGACTTAATTATGTTCAGGAACATTTCACAACAGTTTTGATTCTTTCGTAATGTTACCTCATGCTCCCTGTAAAATGCTTATCTTGGCTTCTTTCAGATGAACTACCTTATCATTGAAGAAAATGTGGACAATGATCCCTGCAAGTTTGCTCTAATGAGCCGGGAAACATCAGAGAGAGTCATTTTGCAGGCAGCTAATCCAGAAATTCAACAAGCTTGGGTACAGGACATCAACCAGGTCCTGGACACACAACGAGATTTCCTCAACGGTGCGTACACAGTCTTTGTTCTGTTTCCCAAACTGTAATGCCAAATAGGATTTAGAATCTTTATGTCCTTGTTTCCTTTGTGAGAAAATTATTGAGCCACTTCTGCATGTGTCAGTTGGACTCATGTTCCTCAGGTCCCTCTGTGGGTGGTGCTTTTGCTGGTGGTAGTTTTGTACTGGGGTTTGCAGGGCTCTGTTACCTGGTGCTTTCGATTGTACCGCGAGGTTTTAAATCTGAAGCCATCTCAAGATCACGATGAAGCCAGGTTGCCACTGTGTCTACACAGCATCTCTCAGTTACTCAGAGCAAGGTTTGTCCCCAAGAGCCTCCTGTTAGACAACATGTGTGCTACAGCTGAGGATGTGAGGTGGGATGAAGGCTGCCTCACCATGCACCCCCCTACAGGTCCCAGCTCTGCAGGGCAGCAGCAGCTTTCAATTAAAAAAAAACACAAAGGAAAGAGGAAGGAAACACGGGCAAGGAGACAAGGGCAAGGGCTTGTTTCTCCTAGGAACCATGTGCATGAAAAGGGCCCTTTCCAAAGTACCAGCTTTGCTGTAGAAATAGATTTGAGGTGATCTGAAATAATATTTCAAACTAAAGCTGTGTTTCAAAAAAAAAACCCTCTTAAAAACCAGACACACACACAAGCAACAGAAGTGTGTCATTTGGAAATACAGAGGAATCAAATTCAGTTAACAATTTTAGCTTGTTCTTGCTTCTGAGTGGATGAGGGTAAGAGAAGGGAACAGGACTAGAGAAAGAATCTAAAAATAGTATCTCTTTTGTTTGTTTGGAAGCAACAGAGTAGCTTTGGATGCCTCCGAGATTACTTTGCACTATTCATTTCAAAACAGCTTATTTTATGGAGCTTATATTACAGTATTAATGGCTTAATACATGTTCAATAATAAAACATATTTGCTTGACTCAAGATGTTTGGGCTTGGCACAATATGTTAGTTTTTGGGGTTTTTGGGGGAGGGTTTTGTTATTTGGTTTTGTGAAAGTTTTGTTGCAAAATGGGAAGAGGCTCTTTCAGTTCACATCAAAGCAAAGGTTCCCTTTTATTCAATGTGGAGGCTTTAAAATTTTCAGTTCAGCTTAATTTTACTTTTCAGAAGTTAACTGGGAAGGGGTTACATGCAGAAGTTGTTTGTGACAGTTCAGAATCTATGGCTGAGCTGAGAAGGGAAATATATTTCACCCATGATGCCACAACTTGATACTGGGTTTTTGTGACTTGGAATAGAAACAGCCTCATACAACCATTGTAAAATGATTCCTTAAATACATGGGGGAGATGAAGAGTCTTAAGTTTTCCAGTTTGACCAGTTGGTACCAAAACTTGATGGGTTTATGTCAGTGCAGTTGGTTTTGACTGAGGAATTAATAGAATAAAAATAAGTTCCACTAACAGTTAGCTACAGACTTTTTTTTTTATAAGCCTTATGAGAGCTCCTCAGACACTAATGCAGGATTTTTCTGTCCCTTCAATATCTTTCTTGCTTGTTCTTTTTATTTTTTAAGTATTCTATCTTATCTTCACAGAACTTACTGCCCTGTGAGCCTCTTTTTCTGCTGAGGCATCTTCATAGCCCTCCATAGCCTATCTTCTGTGAGGACAGCAAGCAATTTGATGGGTTAGGAACATAATCATCACTATCTCTAAAGCAAAAGTAAAAATAGATTTCTATTAAAACACAAGCTTAAGGATTTACCTTAAAACTGTAAATAAGATCCAAGAAAATGATACTGTATCCAGGAGAGCCTGTCCAGTCCGGAATATTTTAAGTGGCTTTTAGAATGTAATCTTATTGAGACTGACTAATCTTTAAATATGTTTTTTAGCTTTGCATTTCATTAGAGCAGACATTTTCTGTCCTTAAAATCATATTAAATCCACACTGAGCCAATGCTGCATAAACTTAATAACAAAATATTCCCCTTGAGTTCTTGCCCAAGCTGTCTCTGATTTTTCTCTCTTCACCAGGGAAGTCCTAAAGAGTAGGGGCTATGTACAAAGCATGGGATTTGCATCCAAACTTCATTAATATAAAAGTGTAATATTCAAGTTTATCTTATTTTTCCATGGAAAAATAGAAGCTGCTAAGCTTGAGAAAACAGGCTGTGCATCAAATGAAGGGATGTTGTGACTGTTCTTTAGGAAGCAAGCTGTAAAGAAAAGCTGTCACTGCTGGACGTGTTTCATAAGGAAAATGCCATTCATCTGTACCTTTGTTTAATCATGTTTTGTAGGGGGAATTTGGGAGAGAAAGGGAGAACATGCAAGTAGATGGACACTGACTTTTGCCAGAAGCTTCTAAGAATACTGACAGATGTTTAATAGAAGGCTGGAAGCCAGGCATCACTGTGGTAGTTCATGGTGGAATTAGTAGTCAGAAATGGACACTCAACTAAATACCCTTTAAAAGTACCGAGTACAGTAGATTGTTTGACTGATAAGTATCCATTCAGATCTTACTGCTAATGAACTTGCAGCCTTATTTACTGTATACAGTAGAAAAATGTCACTGTCAAAATCATTGTCAAAGTTTTCCCCAGCCTTCCTTGCCCTCTGTGTCTGGTCTGCAGCAGGACCAAACCATTTCCAGCTGTAGCTGAGGTAAGCAAGTGAAACTGGCAGTCACTGTGGCATAAATACAATCTGCTTTTGTGACAAGGGTCAGGTTTTAGAGAAAAGTAATCTTCCAGACTGCTACAGACCTATGTCTGTGTCCTTTTGAAGAAAATGGTGATCTGGCATCCTCCTTGATTTTTTTTTTTCCCCAGTCATTTGTTCTTTAGTATGAAGTGATTTCTTGAGTTCTCCTGCCTTTCTCTGGAAGGGGAATGCTAGAGAGTGTGCTGTATGGTGCTAAGCTTTTCTGTTTTTCTTTCCTTTTTGTTTTGTTGAGAAAGACATTCCTTCTGTTGTGGTTCCCTGGTGGGGCTGATGCTGTGACACTATGTTCTCTGTCTGCCTCTTGCTAGACAAGTCTCCCTGCATTCCAGTAGGTTTAGTCTGGTGCATGTACACAGTATTAACTGACTATAAATCATCTGTTTAAGCCACATGACATGCAAAAAAACAAGCCCATAGGTCTGGGGCTGGTAGCCTGAGCCCAGAAAATCTGCTCACTGTGAGCCCCAGCCCTGATCCCTTCTCCTCCAAACATAACAAATTATTTATTTCTTTATGATGTGGATTTTTTTTCCATTTCCCAGTGCAAGCTCTCTCCATGACCATAAAATATACTCTCACAAGCAGACTTTATTTTTTATGGCTTATGAAGCTGTTTTGTGTGGCCTGTTGGGTGTTTTCTTGAGAGGTTTGGGCTGCTGGGATCAATGTCTTGGTGCCATCTATACTTCCTTATTTGCTGGTCAGTTCCAGCAGTTTCCTTGAACCAAAGCAGTTAATGAAGAAAGCACATTGAGAGCCAAGTTGAAGTGCATTACATCCAAAGACTATTTATTAGTCACACTTTCTTGGGAATATGCAAATGAGACTCAGAGGTCTTGACCTGTGTTTCCAGATGCTAGCAAAACTCACTGCAAATGTGCTGTGCACCTCTTAGTCAGGCTTTCATTTATTTTTACTACAGGATGTGATTAATTTGTGCAATTTCAAAGAAAATGAATGCAGTTATGTATGCTATAAATGGCAAGCATTTTAGCCTCCTCTCTGTGTAGGTTAGAGAAGCTGTTCTTCACATCAGTGTGGAGTGCTGTGTCCAGTTCACGCACAGCACAGTGTAAAGTGCTTGTGTCCTGTCTAGCCATGAGCGCTCCATGTGCTTCCATGGGCAGCATCTCCTGCTCCTGTTTGGTTTGCAGCGTATGAATCTGTTCTGTTTGAACCACCCCACCTGTTTGAACACCTCTGCAGCCCCTGGCAAGGCTGTTGGTAGCACATGGCTGACTCCTGTCCTCTCTTGCAGCACTGCAGTCGCCCATCGAGTACCAACGCAAGGAGAGCAGCTCGGCGGTGCTGCGGCCCCAGGCTGGCAGGGTCCCTCAGCCCAACACCAGGCCCCATTCTTCTATTCCAGTAGGGTCTGAGAAGCCTTTGAAGGCTACAAGCCGTAACCCATCTCTCCCACCCCTGAAGATATCTACCTCCAATGGCAGCACAGGGTATGAGCACTCACAGCCCGGAGACAAGTATGAACAAAGCAAGGTACTGAGCTCATCTAATAAAACATGATCTCACAGCCCATTTCTTACATTAGCAGCTAACCAGGTCAACAGGAATCAACATACTGAAGCAAAGGGGTTATATGTGATTTGGGATTAAACAGCTCATGCAAAAGCCCTGGCATCCACATGGATGGCAGTTCATCTGGGAAACAGAGACAGAGCCTGACCCTGGAGCACTGATCTCTGTGTTTTTCAGGGCACTGTGCTTGCAGATCTGGTGAACTAGATATCCATTTGCAGTAATGGCAGAAGTCATATTCAGGCTTCTCTAATATCCATTAACCACCCATTCCTGAAAAACTCTGTGGTAGGGAAGAGCTTAGACCTTTTCCCACATAACAGCTCACAGGGTGCCAGCTAAAGCTTATAATTTGGGTACATGTGTGCTGCACACAAACCACCAAAGAGTCAGTGGCCACCAACTGTGTTTGGACCCTGCTGCTGACTGAGGTTGACCAAAGCCACTTTCAACTGACCTATCTTTATCTGTGAGTATTCACTCAGCTTCATTGGTCTTTCTCCCTGTTTGGCTCAGCACAGATCCGTAACACCCCCGCAGATGAGAACACCCAGGGGCACAGTCGCTAGCAGCTTTGAAGTCTGATGTGAAATAGGAGACTGGTTTGTATTAGCTTACTGCCACCTTTCAGATCTTTAAAATCCTTTTCTGCCAATGTGAACTTCCAAATGTTTTGTGTCTTTTTCCCTGGTCTGGTTAGGCTGGACATGAAGTAGTGGGATCAGTGCCAGAAAGGGCAGGTTCCTCCGTGCCGGCCGCTCACCGCTTTGTGTTGTGTCCGTTTGCAGACTGATTTGGGAGGGTGCAATGGGACCTCTTCCATGGTGGTGATTAAAGATTACTATGCACTGAAGGAGGATGAGATCTCTGTGAATCAAGGAGAGGTGGTTCAGATCCTTGCTATCAACCAGCAGAACATGTTCCTGGTGTACCAGCCCGCAAATGACCACTCTCCAGCCGCTGAAGGATGGATCCCTGGCAGTATCTTGGCTCCCCTCCCTAAATCCACTACAGATAGTAGCGATGGAAGCATCAAGTAAGTGCCCTATTGGCTTCGCTGGGAGCACTATGTGGATTTTTTGAGGAAAATAAAATAAATAAATAAAAATAAACCTAAAAGGTAGGGAAATCCCACTGGTTTTGATCTACAGTGCCATTGGAACAAGCTGAGTGGTCAATCCGCAGCGACGGGCAGCCATGGTGGATAGCTCGGGTTTTGCTTATTTTCGTTTTGTGGGATTTTGTTTATACTTTGGAGAGAAATAAAACCATAGACGGTTAAAGATATGCTTTACGTGACACCATTTTACACCAACATGGACCTGCTTGGACTGGACTTATATTTATGTTGTATTAAGTGACTAATCTATATATTGGTTATAACAGCATCTAGATAAAAAAAAAAACAAACACAAAAATCCAGGCTCTGTGCTGGACTGAGGTTTGCTTCTCAAGGAGGAGAGATTTTGTTGTCTATGGCAATTTCCTTGTACAGCTTGTATCTTTTTTTCTTTTTTTTTTTTTTTTTTTTAATTTGTTTTGGGGTTTTTTTCTGTTTGCAGTAACTTTTGTAATATATTTTTTGGTTTGCAAGACCCCCATCCAAGTACATTCCTGTATAAAGTATTTTGCACTATTTTAAAAAAAAAAAGAAACAAACTCACATTGATGAAGTCAGGTTGTGCAATATAATGGATAGTCGCAATGTTCATCATTGTACCTGTAATGTAACTAATTTTAAATGTACTATTTTAAATATGTAAAATAAATTTTCACCATGAGCATGTTTTAATGAGGTAAAATAATTAGTTTGACCCTTTTATTTTGTTTGATTTTATTTTGTTTTGATTTTAATTTTGTTTATAATATTTTGTTGCTTATTTAACAAATGTGTGGATATATATTTTTCTTTTCTGATTTTTAGAAATTTGTCAGTCTGAAATGACTAATGCAAGAAAGTGGTTTTTTGGTATTAAATACAGAAGGTACAACCCTCTTTTCAGTAATACCTGTTGATTTCTTTTAACATCTAAAATGACTAGATGGTATTGCATGATGTATGCTACAAATTGTGTTACCTTACACAAATACCTCGAGGTGCAGAATTGAACATGAGGACATATTTTGTGACAGATTCACTAAAAATAATAACTTGATCTCTGCTGCCATTTCAGTTAAGAGAAATGATGATTTTACCTGTCAGCCAGTAACGAATGCTACCTGGAATTGCATGTTAAGGCAAAGGAATTGCTTGGCACATCTCTTGCACATCTGCCACAGCCATTCCCGGGTTCCTCTCTAGCCACAATATGCAACCACATGCCCTTAGAACCATCCACTGTACCAGACTCCTGGTAAAGACTGATTGCATGGCAGCTGTGCAGTAAAATTCTGCATCAAATTCTGTAGGCAGATGAATTGTGGCCAGGAAGGTGTAACAAAATTGAAAGACACATGGACTGCACTTCTCTCTTTGTCACTGCAGTGAGATTTAAAGTCCTAAATTGTGTTTCCAGACTCCAACCAGTAAAACAACCCTGAAAACAAAAAGATGCTTGAATAATAGGAATCCTATGAGAAAAAATAACCTGGAGCTGTGCTATCTTCAGTCCTATCTGGTCTGCCAGATCACAGTGACTACTTAGTTTAAATCATAAAACTGTTTCTTCTGTGACAAATATTGTATACAAAATATCTGGTCGATGCAGCAGTGTTGGCACAATGAATATTCATTATTCATTATATATTCATTATATAGATCAGGGAGCCCCATCTGCCATGTTCTTGACTCTTAAACATCCTAAGGGAAACGTAACAGTCCTGAAGTGTTGGATAACTTCTCCTGCTCTGCAGTTCTCATTTGGACCTTGTCCAGAAACGCCCCAATAGCAGTCAGCACCTCGGGCCTGTCTGAGCTGTGCAGGGTGCTCCGGTGCTCCCTGTGCTCAGACGCGACTGCCCGCACAGGCTGAGTTAGTGCACGCTCTGATCCTGGTGGCAAGAACAGTCGTCGTGACCCAGTTCAGTCTTGTGGCTGTGGCAGGGTTTGCTTGTTGTGTAACTGAGCTATTGTACAGCTCCCATCAGATGCTGAGGTGACAGCAGGGAGCGTTTAGGAGTCAGGCGCAGTGTTCATGGGGGAGCGACGGCTGCGTGGGGCATCCTTTGGGTCCTACCTTGCTAACATACTGCGTTTTATTGGCATCACAGGTGATCCCTGGATTTCATACAACTTCCTTTGTAAAATGTATCAAGGTACTGTAGACGTGACATGTGCCAAACATTGGGCTTAAACATGCAAATCAAATTTGCATGACTTAAAGGTGGGCAGATGCTTTGAACCTGGACCCCAGCTCATCACACTGCTGTTTTGAGAGCTTTATGCTTTGGACAACATACCCTTCCCCAGATTCCCCCCCAACCTGCCCACTATTTTAACCAAATGAAATCCATACCAAGAACTGTTTTGGTTTTTTCTTATGTCTGCTTTGATATGCAATTCTCTTGTCAACACAGCATTGCTCTTACAAAGGGTGATAGTGGTCTTTTTTTATTTTTTTCCAAGAATAAGGTCATAGGAGCAGGAATAAGGGGTGAAAAATGTACTGGAAATGGTGCCTGCTGTGATGCTAGCCAAAACCCATGAGCTGACTGATGTCCTCTTTAGCTGGATTGGCAAAGTCAAATGGGAAATTCTTGGTCTTGAGAGGCACAGCAGAGCTTGTAATTCTAGGAAATTACTTATCTCTTGGAAAATTAATAATGCAGCTCCTATTCAGCTGTTTGTGTTCTGAGCAACATGTAGTGAGCAACAACTTGAATTTCTTAATTTTCTTTTAATTTCCTATACGGAATAATCTATTAGGACCATTCTTACGTATTTGTTACACTGCTTTTAACCAACGAGACTGAGGACCAAGTTGGTCTTTTAAATGTAGGAAAATTAAAATAAATTTCTATTTGTGGCAATGCAAGACAAAATCCCCAAAACCAGATGACCAAGTTTGAGTTGCCTGTGCTTCCATCATGGACATTTTTTTCCTGCTCCATGCATTTAAACAGCAAGTGTGGCACAACATCTGCTTTGCAGAACTCTTTGGTTTGGTTTTTAACTTCAGCTCTCATTGCTGAGATTGAGACGGGCATATTGCCTGCTGGTGGCTTTCACCTTCTAGGGAATTGCAGTAATTGCAAATGTGGATGCTGGTTCCCCTTTCCAAAACCTTTCTTCCTGCTATGATTTGCCATTTGATTGCTGCGTTTTTTGGTACAACAGGAAGTCATGTTCATGGCATACCCTGCGCATGAGAAAGCGGGCGGAAAAGGAGAGCAGTGGCAAAAATGAAGCCAATGGGCCACGTAAATCCAAGGATATTCTGGGGAACAAAGTCTCTGTTAAAGTGAGTAAGGCCATCTGAAAGCTCTGTGCTGCTCTCCTGCTTCCCATCCTTTCCACCCCCTGTAGCATCCTCTCCTGAGAGAGGGAGGGGGTGGCAATTTTGAGTTTGGGTTTTGGTTTTTTTGGTTTTGTTGTATTTTTTTTTCAACTTCAGTTATCTTTTTTTTTTGTTCCTTTTTTGTAGTATCCATTTTAGCAGGATTTTTGCATGCAAGATAAAATGCAGTCTTTGTTTTTTGTTTTCTTTTTCCTGGCATCCCACATGCAAGTAAGTACTCCTCATTAAGAAACCCAACTATACACATGGTTAAATAACTTAAAATTGTGACACTAGTGATTTACTGACCTCTGATCTAGCCTAGTGCAGCTTCATCAGAGCAGCTGTAGCAGTGAGAAAGCCACTGGGTGAACCAATGGCCTTACTGATGAGTTTTCTTTAGGCCAATATTTCACCAGATGTTAAGATAAGGGGCTCCCAGCCTGGGGATTCTTAAGGTTTTTGGTCTAGGGAGATGGTCTCAATGACCTTTTTCTTTCCATGTTATCAGACAGGACAGAGATGCTGACTCTGTCTTGCCAGGAGAAGGTCTCGTGTGTGTGTGTGTCTGTGTGTGTTTGTGTCTGTGTGTCTGCGTCTCTCTCTCTTTCTCTGAGATCTCCCAGTATGGAAAAGGTTGAGAACTGTGGGGTTAAGCTCCATCTTCTGCTTTGGGTGCCTGACTACTGTGCTCCAACTCAGAGGATCCATCCCTATAAACCGACCATGAGGCCTGCTCAGGACTAATCTGGGGCTTTCCCTCCCAACAGAGGCAAGCAAACACTTGTGATTTTGACACAACCAAAGCCCGGCCTTGATTCAGGAAAGCACTTGAGCATGTCCTTTGGATACACCCCTCTCCAGGAGAGTCTATGATGAAGTGTTTTCCTTTGCAGAGGCTTTCTGTCTTACAAGCCTGGTGCAATAGCCCTGGCATGTGCAAAGGGAGGAACCCTGACACTGCATCCCGGGCGCCCTCGCACCCTCTGGACGAGGAAGGACTGGGCCCAAGGGAAGCAGCTGCTCCAGCATGGTGGCACAGTTCTTCCTCCTCTTGCTTCCTCCTCGTTTTCACTACCTGAACGAATTGCAGAATCACTGCTGCTTCTCTGGCAAAAGCATGTCTTTGCCTTTGCTTCCCTTGTTTTGTTGTCAGTTTGTTTTTCGTTTGTGTTTTAGGAGCATTTTCCCTACTGTTACCCATTTCCATGCTGCTCACAACCGTGCTGCTCTGCCCTGACTAACCAATCTTTATTCTAATCTCTTGTTCTCTTTCTTCCTCTTCATGCTGCCAAACAAGGAGACAAACAGCTCAGAGGAATCAGAGTGTGATGACCTTGACCCCAATACTAGTATGGAGGTAGAGACAATCATCCTTGTGATTATTTTTTCCCAAGAACGTGTCTGTTTTGAAATGCCTTTGCTGCAAGGGGAGTTGGTGGGTCTGTATTGCTCGCAGAAGTGTGTGCCAATTTAGTGTGAGTCACAAAAAGTGTCAATTCTGGTTTTGCCAAGCTTTGAACTGGACCCTGGGCTTCTTTTGTTGTGGGAGCGGTGGAGGGAGCTCAGTAACAAGCTCCTACTGAGCCGGAGGCTCACATTGCCACCCTCAGTCTCTGCTTCCCACCTGGGACCTCATTCCAACAATAATGCAAGAGTGTCAGCTGCTGATAAATGTAGCACCTTTCTATATTAAAGACACTCCTTCCCCTGGCAATACATACTTGAGCTGCCAGTCAGGCCAAATGTTGTTGTACCACAACCAGCACTTCACCTAGAAAATCAGAAAATACGTTTCCTTTTTCTCTTAGCGGAGTGGGAATTGCATTTCTGTCCAGGTACTGAAGGAGAATGGTAAAACTAGTTGAGTGAATGTTCCTATATCTCAAGCAAGGCTGATGCAGATAGGTGGACACAAATTATGCTATGTTATGCCGCTGGTTTTCCATTGTGAAACCACCAGTTCTAGTGGAGTGCCTTGTTGAGAGAGCCTTAAAGAGCTTAAAATCATGCAGAGTTATGTGTCTCGTTCTCCTCAATTAAAATCTAGCAGAATCCTTTTTTTTTCCTCCTGTTTATAGTGACCACACAAAGCATTTCTAAATATTTTTCCAAGGCTGAAAGAGGTTCCTGCTGAAACAGGCAAGGACATGGTTCAGAGACATGGTGATCTTGTGGTGGTGACAGGACAGGTCACTGGAGAACAGAGATATCTGTGCCCTAGCAGATCTCCCAGATTTTGTCAGCCAGGCTGCACTACAAACATCCTGCAAAAGAAAGCTGATCTTCCTCCTGAACGGAAAATAAAAAGAGAAAGAAGTGTACTGAGGTGCACCACCTACGCTGTTAACCTGAAAGCACGCTTTTATTTTAATTGTGTTGGGATGTGTACTAAAGGAGAGCTTTTGACCCAGCTGACATCCTGGAGATTAAATGGTCCTCACCTCCAAAGCTGCATTATTCTCAGGAGTGTGTTCACATTTTCAAAGAGCATTTTTCCAGCCACAGGTAATATCTGGAAGTGTATGTATTTGTTTTAAGGCAGTGCCCATTATTACACATGAGTCTGTGGAAGCTTTCACTCACTGAAAATTGCCCTGTGGAGAAACAAGTGGCTGAGACAAGGGTGCAGTGCTGGGTGAAAATCACTGTTCTTTTGCAAAGGATTTCTGTGTTTTGACTTTGTTCAATGGGAGGAAAAACAAATGGTTTAGCATTTCCAGAGGGAGGTATCTGAATCCTTGCGTTGTCAGCATTTCTAGTCTTCCTGATGGCTTGATTTGTGTTTTTACCATGGTACAGTCTACTGTTCTGAAGTTCAGGAGAAAAAAAGTCTCTATTTAAACCAAAAGACACCAATGGGAAGTCTTAAATATGGTATCATTCTGCTATTGGGGGAGTAACTGTGTGCCTTCTGTGTGACTATTTACACTCAGAAAGCCCCATCCTGCATTTCCCAGGTCACTTACTGGAGATGACAGTGCCACTGCACTGCAGAGCCCAGAAGCCACAGTATTCCTCATGGCTTGGAAAGCTCAAGTTTGCTTCTGGCAAATCTCTCTGGGACTGAGCAAATATTTAAAATGGCAGAGGAAGAGAAAATAAGAGAACAATTGTGGGGGTGACTTACTAAGGTCACACTGCCCTGCAAGGAGCAGCACAGCCCTTGCTTTGTGCTGGTTTTAGAAAATCTGCAGTCAGGATTGAGTGTGGTCATCTCGCTGGTCTGGTAAAAAATATTGGGGGAAAGGGATTGCTAATACCCAGTATAAACTAAATAAAGTCGTCTGGAGGGAGCAGAGCAAGGGCAGACTCATAAAATGCTGGTGAAGCCTTAGGAGAGGCCATGGGGAAGTCTGATCTCTAAAGGTTTAAGGTATTCGCTGCTGGAAGCCATAATTGCTCTCCCTTTCCCTTTATTATGCGTGGTTTGATTTTCCTTTCCAAACGTGTTACAATAAATGGGCTATATTACAGCCCAGGAGGCCAAAGTCTTTTCTCAATAAATCAGAGGGCAAAACAAGCTAATTCCAACACCAGAGCCTGATCCAGGGCTTCATCGATCTTCTAGGCTTTGTCTGCTGGGCTTAGATAACTTAAACAGCTGTGCTGCCCCTCCAGCCCCACCTGTGTCTGCAGTGAACATCCACATCTCACCTGGTTTTGCTTTCCCTGCTCTGTGTGGAGTGGCCACCGATGAGTTCCCAGGGCAGCTGGAGAAACATGATGGCCCAAGGAGAGGGAACACCTCTCCTCACTCCTGGCCAGGCTTGTGAGGGGTTTTAGAGATGCTGGGGGGGCTGGCAGAAGAGCTGTGTCCTGGCCAGCGACACTCAGAGGTGCCTTTCCTGTGTCATTGAGGTGGAGTCATCACTACAGCCAGGTAATAACAGGGCCAGTCACCCCTGACATGCCTCTTCTTCCCATCGTGCATGAGAACGTGCACCCAGTGCTGGAACAGAGCAGTCTCTAAATGCAAAGCAGACACATTAATTACCTGGAAACATGGGTGCAATTTATCTCCACCCTGTTTCCTGCCCAAGAAGTCAGTAAGCTGCTCATAGTACCCATGGAGTCCCACAGCTGCTATGGCCTTTCAGATCTCGCTTTGTTTGCTATTGATGAAATACCACAGTGGATTCCATTCAGTAGACTCCAGGTTTCTAGAAGCACTTTGCTTTTGTTTCAAGGGAATGCAAAAACAGAAAGAAATGTGGAAAACATATATTGTGAGAGCAGGAAACAAAATTCTGGGTGACTGTTTAAAAGAGCTAAAATTTCACTACTGGATTTTTGTTCATGCAGGCCTTTGAGAATTTCCTATTCATTGTAGCTTTGACTAGAAATAGCATCTCTTAGTGACTGGTTGCTTCTTTTTTTTTTCCCCTTTGTTTATTAATATGTAATGAAAGTGCATAAAGATGGAAATGAAGTTTGATAATTTTTTTTCCCCCCTAGTTTTCTGCTTTGTGTGGTAGTCTCATAAAACAGAAGGCACAAACTCACCCATTAAGTATGTGAGTGTAGGAGCAGGCACTTAAGAGCCATGTGTAGCCATGTGAGTGACAGGAGTAACCTACACTTAAAAATGATCTGAGACTCTCTTTCCACATGTCTGTAGTTCACAGGGACAGGCAACTCCACTTCTGGGAAGATGTATGCCCTTGTGAATCAGTAAATATCATCCACACCCAAGTCTGGGTTCCTGGACAATGACACAACTAATTGTCCTACAATTCTGTGTTGTAACATCTCATGGGGTTGCAGCATTGCTGAGGAGGTCACAAGGCAGCTGTGCAGATCCCATCAGGAAGCCTCCCTTGTCTAAGGGAATGTTCTTCCAGCAGTCAGAAGATCTGACTGAGTTAAACCTCACTAAATCCAGCAGCAGCTCCTGCCAGCTTTGGGATGGACCTCAGGTGTAGGGCTCTGACACGGCTCCAGATGTTTTGCACAGCCCCAGCTGCAGTGTCAGAAGTGCTGTTGGTGACACACATCTGTCACTGAGCCCCTGGTGTCTGTTCCAGTGTCTCTGCTGTGCAAAGCAGAGATGAAGCCCAGGCCAAGTCACTGGAAGTGCCATTAGTGAGCTGAGCTGTTGCCAAGGTACGTATGTTGGGCTTCCTAATCTGTTTCCTTCAGTTGTGACATTCTAGCATGTCAAGAACTACTCAGAGACACCTAGACCATGATAAGCACTAGGAAACATCCACTGTAGAAGAATATTGTGTTAGCACCCCCACAGTCCACGTGGTTGAGTAATGTTTTGGTGGATACAGCGCTGGCTCCAAGTCACCACTCAGGGCAGGCCAAGAATTCTCGAGTGCTTTGTGCAAATACCTTCACCCCCTGCCTGAGGCTGTCCACCTCCAGAGTGATCTCTTGGCAAAGTCTTACAATACTGTAAGAAAGCCTTTCCTGGCCTATTAGCACAGTGTGAATGAGTACAATCCTGGGAGATTCCATGGGTTTCCCTGGGGCTCCATAGGCAACTGCTGTGCTGCTGCCCTGAGTGGCCAGGGCTTGCTGAGACAGACCAGGAAGGTGGCTCATCAGGTGTGACATAGCCTGAGCCAGCAGCACAGACATGGTGGATTAGCTTTTAGAAAATCAAGTGACCTACTTCATCTGCAGGAAGGTGTAGGGTGCTACAACACAGCGCCAGGGACATCCCACAGATTCAGCCACGGAAGCCACCAGCCATTAGGGCCAGACAGCAAGAACATGAGGTAAGAGGAATTCTGCTCTGCACAGATGTTGTACAGCATCTCTTGTGCCTTCCACATCAGCCCCAAAGGCAGCTGAGCCCATCCACACTGGTGCCAGAAGGATTGCCCATCCCTGACAAAGGCTGATGTCATGGGGTGCTTCATCAGGTATAATTTTAAATTATATTTTCCCTTTGGTAGCTCTGTCCATTTCTGGTAGAATCCTTATTTGCTCATTTAATCAAGAAATTTCTCTAGTTAAGTTGTTTCTTTTTTGGAGGAGGGGAGGCTGGTGACACTGTGAGCCTGTCACCCTGAAGGTCTCAAAGTAAAGTTATCCTGGACAAAAATAGGTGATAGATATTTTCCTAAAAATTAGAGTCCACCTAATTTATCTCTAATTAATTTCATCTTTTTCAGAGAATCATAATTTTTGGTTTTGACTGAGGTAGCAAGGAACATGCTGCTGACTCTGCTACCAGTATGAGCAAATGTGTCAGTATTGTATTTTAACTCGGTGACCGAGAGGTTCACAAAATGCTCAGCCGCTTGTCTTGGAGTAAACATGCCCTCTGCTGTTTAGGTGAAGCACCGATCTTGTTACAGAGGGCTTGGTTTGCAGACTATTCTTAGGCTTTGGGGGAAAAATAATATTCTCACTCCTGGTTTTGATATGTTCCCTTAAAATGGGATTGAAACATGGCACTGGAAAAAGCTGGTCATCTGCTGGGCCCTTCTATGCAGTGCTGTGTCTGGGCTGGGTGTAATCCCTCCAAGGAAGGGGGGTAGGCATGGCAAGGACACCCTGCAATGGAGAAACAAACCCTGGCCGAGGTGAGAACCCTCTCAGGCAGCCAAGCTGTGCTTGCAGAGTGTTTGGGGACTGGCCATTGGCGTGGCAGGATGGCTTCTCCCTCCCCCCAAGTGAAAGATAAGATCATGCTAAGAATTAGGGCAGTTAGAGTCGCTTTGCAAACGGGCCTTACAGCTACTGCAGATGTCTTTCTATCCTTATAACGTGAGCTTAACAGACCAGGAAAAATACTGCAGAATATGGAGTTGCTGGAGAAGCACCCATGCTGCTTTGCTAAAGCTTGACTGTTAAGTTTCACTTAATTGACCTAGATGCTGGTCACTTAGATCCCTGCAGGTGCCCAAAGGCATTCAAGTACACGTCTTATGTGCCTTCTTGGTCTGAGCCCTGAAACAGCACAGGCTGGAAGAGGGAGAAGCAAGGTCTATTTCTGGCTTTTCATTCAATAGCCCTGACCTGTCCTCACATTCTTTTATCTCACCCCCCTCCCTCCAGCTGCCTGGCTTTGCCTGGTCAGTGTTAGACCCCGCATTACTTGAACAGAGAACATTTCATGTTCTGCCTTTTGTTACCTGGCATAGGATTTCCATTTTCAGATGTCATTGTACAGGAAACAAACTCTCCTGGACACAGAGGGGAGAAACTTTCACCTGCTCTGGGCCATGCAACAAGTCTTTCATCCAATTTTTAAAAAAAAATATATACCTCATCTCGATTAAAATTATGTTTCAAGGAAAAGAAGGACATCTGTGGTTCTTACATGCACTGTGAACTAAGTTTGATCCCCTTAGGGTTTGTGTTTGCATGGTGTGGACTGACACTGAAGCTGCAGTGAGTTCTTGTGTTGGGTGGTGCCATCCCCATGAGCTTGTACTCTCACAGCCAGACTGGCAGCCACACTGGTGCTGGAGGTGTTTGCTGGGATCTGTTCAGGCAGCCCTTGTCAGCATGAGACCCTGGGCCACCTTCCCCTGCTCACAGCCACCACGGCCCAGGTGCTTATCTGAGGGCTGGGCTGTGAGATCGTCATTCAAACTGCTGCAGACTGTGTGGGCAAGTGCATCCACAAGGGGATCCAGCCCTGGCACCAGCAGGAGGCTGTGTGGAGAAGCAGTACATGAGCTCCTATCCTCTGAGGGCACTGAGAGCAATCTCTGGGAGCTCCCCTTCTCCACCCCCAGGGATTACAGACCTATTTGGCAAATGAAGAAATTGTCTCCAAAGGTCTTGCACTTAAGCTAGAAGGACTCTATGGAGGCTCCTGCCATCCAGCCATAGCCCAGGAACCTGGCCAGCCTGCAGGGAGAGGCAGCAGAACCCCAGGGCCTGGGAGCACATGAAGCACCAAGCCAGCCCCTGGGTGCAAACCAGGCTGTGAACCTTTCCTTTCCCATTCCTGCCCTTCTCACCCCATATTTGATGCTGTCCTTCAAAGCAGAAGGAATCCCATTACTTAATAAGGTGGTGTATTAAATCACTTAAATGTTCTCGTGCAGACAGGCTTTTATTTTTGTCTAAGCTTCCAGCAGGCTAAAGCTGTGATGTGGCTGTGGGGGTGTTGCTAGGTACCATTTGATTAATTAACAGATGAAGTTTTGGGAAAGAAAATGTAAATTTTACCCACAGACTCTTCCAATAGTAGGTAGCAGTGATAATTTTCTTTCTTTTATTCCCATGGTGAGGCAATGAAAAAAAAAATTAGTAAGGCAATTATAAATTATTGTACTTTGGAAGTCACTAGAAATGTAGAATTATTTATTTATAGGGATATCTATTACATTCATCATTGTAGTTGCAAATGAATCCTTTAGAGTCATAAAATTAATATAAAGTGTTAATGAGTGTTTCTTTCTCCTGATCTCTAATCCTACAGGGATGGAGATCAGTGAATAATAAGGGAATTTAGTGCATGCTGCAGGGAAGGGGAGAGCTATGGAAAATGGATATTTCAGTTAAGCCAAACACCACAAAAATGAAGATGTATGTTCAATTGAGCTAATGCCTGGGGTTACTCAGCTGAAAAGTAGATGGTGTCTGTGAGTGAAAGTGGCAATGGTTATGGTTATCCACAAAACAGCTTTTTCTTCCTTTGCTGTGTTGTGTGAAAGATACAACTAAATCACAAAGAGCCATCTCTCTTTTTTTCACATGCACAGACAGGACAGAGGATGTTTGCCATCCAGTACCCCATTGTGCCACAATTTCTTCCTGCCTGCAGCGTCCAGGGGGCTGTGTGTGGGTCCTGGACCCAGTGGGGCAGCAGTTGCTGTTCCCCGAGCCCCTGGGCTGGCAGGTCCATGTGCTGGTGGTGGCAGTGCCCAGCTGCACCCTTCAGAGGGGCTCTGTGCTTTCCATGTTATGCCTGGTTCATCTGGGTTTTGTGGTGGTGCCAGGGGAAAACAAACCCTGAGGTCTCAGTCTGGGACTATAAAGAAAGGCTATGAAACCAAAATGAACCTGAATGTGCCCGAACGCCTCCTTGAATGGCACCCTGAGCCATCGACCTTGGGAAACTATTTATAAAGCCAAAATGTAAATATAAATCTTGAAGATGTATCTACTTTATTTTGAAGGGTTATTGCTTCTGTTTTGTGGCCTGGTTTCTGAGCCTCTGCAAAAACTTCCTATCAGTTTTGGCAGGCCCTGAATTAGGTCACTGCTTCATTGGCATCTTCCAAAATAGCACTGAAATAAATAGTAAGATATTTAAGGTGTGATAAACCACATTGGTGTTTATGGTGCTTGAACATGAAATTATTAGATTGAATTTGAATAACAAGGCCTTATGAGATTATTAGAACAGTTAATGAGGCTAAAACCTCTATACTATTGTACAACACAATGTAGTGTGCATCGATTCTGTAAGAAGTCAGTGGCATTGTCTTTGCTTTTTCCACATTTGCTTCCAGAGTTACATTGGCACACAGACCACAGAGTAACAGTAGCTTTTCAAGTCTTTGCTGACTTGGTCAATTAACTAGTTAGATAAAATAACCCTTAGTTATCCAAACCTTTCAAGCTGGAAAGTTTCCAGGAGTCCAATTAAATGAGTGAATTTTCACTCATGTTAATAGACCAAGAATTGTTGCAGGACTGATCCTTGACAGTGGGAAAAATGAAGTATTTATGGTCTAGTGCTTTACCTTTTTTCTTCTGAAGCTGAGCACAAGTTAAAAGACATTTCCTCAGACCTGGTTAGTGGCCAGAGTGCTGGTGGCATGCTCCAGGTGTGTGGTGACTGCAGGTGCTGTGTGACACAGGTCTGGAGCTGGGCACAGGGGATGCACAAACCACCTCTGGGAAGAGTTAATGGCTTTGTCATTATCACATAGCAAAGAGGAAGCATGTCTACCCTCCTCAGCCTTGGTGCTGTGCCTGTTACATTTGATGCTTTATCAGGGTTCAAGAAGTCATAGCTTTCATTTACTTTCCCACATGTGTTGTCACTAGAGTTTGCTGCACCTGCTGCTTGTAAAAGGTGCTTGTTACCTCTGCAGCACTTTTGTAGTTCTGGTCAGAATCACCACGGGGCCTTGTGAAAACAGATGTCTCTTTGTCACTGTCTAGGAAATAAATGCTTGTATCTCTTTGTATTTTTCAGATAATCAACCCCAATTTCATCCAAGAAGGTGAGTTAAGGACAGCTGTGCTGCAGTTGTGATTTACTCATGTGCCACAGCATGCTCTGCACTTACCAGCATTTGCGGCAAAGGCTGCTCAGTCCCCAGGCAGAGCAGGCTTCCTGCTGGCTGCTCAGCTCAGACAGCCTGGGGCCACAGGCCAGGCTGAAGCCCCCAAACCTGCCCTCTCAAAACCTCATCCACCTGCCAGAGCACAGGGCTGGAGAATGGATACTCCCTTCTACCTCCTTCTCTGAGCTGCAGACAGCTGGCTTTTACTGGAGGGCAGTTTCAACTACATAATCCCAATACTCTCACCTGTTTGGGACCCAGATCCCATAGTTCATCCTATGAAGTATTCTCTAGCCTTGTATGACTCTAGACATCCTCACCTGAAGATTAAAAGAGGTGTTGTGTGTGTGTGTCCCCATTGTTTTTTTTATAGTGGCTCCGGAGTTTCTTGTGCCATTAGTGGACATCACCTGTCTGCTGGGGGACACAGTGATGCTGCAGTGCAAAGTCTGTGGGCGACCCAAACCAACTATAACCTGGAAAGGACCAGACCAAAACATTCTGGACAATGACAACAGCACAGCCACTTACACAGTGTCATCCTGGTAAGGTCCTGCCTGTGGATCCCAACAGAGCTGGTCCTGATGGGCTTGTTACCCTCAAATATGGCACCAGTCTGGCTACAAGACTCATTAGGATGCAGTTAATTAAGCCTGGCATGGCATGGCATGGCATGACAGCATATCAGTGTGGCAAACATTGGCTAGAAAGGGTCAGACTTCGGGGCTGGGGTTGCTGTATTTGTTTCCCAAGCTGATGTTGGGTATATCCCCCAAGTTCTGCTGGCAGACGTGAGCTCACTCCAGTTGACTTCCTGAGCCAGCTGCAAGCCAGAAGCCAGAATGTTTACAACCTGTTAGTTTGGCTAGTATTGCCTCTGCTTCTCTGCTTGAGTTTGGTGCCTTAATCAAGGCAGGGCAGAGCAAGCTTTCACCAGCTTGCAATACCCCTATCACTGGGCATTTTCTGATCTTATTGGCAGTGGTGGGGTTGCATTTTTCCTGAGCCTTTCCTCAGCTGTTCCTAAAAAAGCCCACATCTGCTCCTGGGAAGGCTACATCTGGCTGTGTTTGGACAGAAAGATGCTTGTCATAATGTTCCTGGCTTGGCTAGCAGAGAGGAAAACTATCTTTACAACAAGCACTGGGAAGATTCAGAAGGATCTGGAGTTGAATTCAGGTCAGGTAACAGTCTGCTGCTGGATGCTCATCTGAAGCTTATATAAGCCAAACTGCAGTGGAAATCTCCAGGAGGCAATCTTTCATTTGAACTTTTCAGCACTTCTGGCTCAGGCTGAAATGAATCCAGGGAGTACAAAGTCACTGAAAGTGAAAAAAGAACAGTAAGAGAGAAGGGATTTTACATATTCAATAAAAAAGCCCCTTACATCTGATCAAGAGCTTCCTTCAGAGACCACTGGCTTGTGAAGCTGCCCCAGAGCATCCAAAATTGTCTTTAGCTATTGTTCAGTAGATCTCCTAGTGCCTTATCTTGAGCCTCTGTCTGGGCTTGGGATGGGGGGATATTTCCATACAGGGTTCTGGTTTCCATCACAGTCCTCTTCCTGCTGGCTCCCTGTGCACTATCAGCACTTGTATTGTCTTGTTACTCAAATAATCTTTCCAGTGAAGACACTGCCTGCCAAGCAGAGGCCCAGCAGATCAGTGGCTTTTACAGATCTTGCTGGCACAAGTGTGTGGATTTCAGGGAGAGGGGATATTTCTGTCCTGTTTTAAACCAGCACACTCAGACCAGCAAAAGCTGCAGAGTCCAGACAGTTATCCCAGCAACCACGTTTGTCTGCAGTACCCAAAAGATTAAGCATTCAGGAACTAGCCTACTTTTGCCATCAAGGAAACTTATTGTTAGCTAAGCTGGGTCTCCAGTACAGCTAAAACAGTTACACAAGCAAAATCCTTTAATTCAGGCCAGCTCCCTCAAATTTCATTTTGCAGACTGAAGTGTGCAAACAGCAGTGACTATGAACAGACCTGCTATAAATTCATGAGACTGCACAGAGCTGTTTATTTTCTCAGATTGGCACAAAGACTGAGTGTATCTCACGAACTCAGTGCTGTGCTCTTTATCCCTGGCTGCTATGAGATGTCCAGTCTTCCAACTGGGGCCCTGGCAACAGCATCAGATCAATGCCACATGCTCCAGGAGTGTGAAGTTCCCTAGAAATGTCACCCTGTGTTGTGTGACTGCTTCCTGCATCTGTGGGAAGCCCAGTTTGTCTGGTGTGTGTTGGACTTCACTGCAGAGGCACAGCAGCTCACCATCTCCCATGACTGGAAAGATCTTCACTGGTAAATCTTTCCAGATATATCAAGTCTAAGCATCTAGCTCTGGACAAGGACAGGCAATGTTCAGCTCCTGGACTGCTTGCTGCTTGAGTGATCCTTCACATCTCTTCCTAGACCACAACAGACATGAGAATTTACCTGGCAGGCAATTCGGACCAAAGGTTTGCTCAAAGGTTTCATTAACAGCTAAACCCTGACATATGAGGGGATTGTAGTTGGGCACCAAATTGCTGGAGGGATGTTCCTTCAAATGTGTTAGCAGGACTTGTGTGAACGTGTGTTTGCAATGAGGCAGGACAGGAACTATATAAAGAACATTAGCAAGTGAAGCAGTGTTTTATAATTTGGGCTTCCTGCATCTACAGTGACTCAGGAGAGCTCACCTTGAAGATCTGCAACCTGATGCCTCAGGACAGCGGCATCTACACCTGTGTGGCAACCAATGAACATGGAACGGCATCAACCTCTGCAACCATCAAAGTCCAAGGTAGCACATCTGACCTTAACACACAGGATGTTTCCTGTGTGTGGTCCCTTGGGGGCTGGGAATACACCAGAACAGCCCATGCAGAGGCAGCCAGATGTGGAGCTGTGCCCGGTGAATTGAGATGTTAAAAGTCGTACAACCATTCCTCAGCCACAACTCTCCCTGATGGCTGAAGGCTTTGTATACTCCTTGTGCTTGATTAATTCATCTGACCATAAATATCACATTTGGGAAATGAAAATGCACTGGCACTGGTTCAGCTCCTGCATCCTACTCCTAGTGCTGCTTCCCAGGAGCTCAGTAAGGCCAGCCAGGGGAAACTCAGCTCCCTCAGGCAGCCGAGTCCCTGGGGGAATGATGCCCCAGGTGACTGCAGGAAGCTCTGGGCTTCAGAATCTGCCTGGAGTGGGAGGAACTGGGATCCAGTGGCACCAACTGTCTGCCTCTCCTTCTCTTTAGGGGACAAAGGAGGTGAGAGTAAGATTTAGCCTGGGTGAAACTGTTCTTTGGGAATTCAACTTGGAGACATGTCTCCAAGCCTGAATTCTCAGCACTGTAATTACTGACCCATCAAATTGGAATGAATATAGAATAATGAGTTGATGCTCATTGCCTCCAGCTCTGAGAAGGGATTTGTTAGCACTAGAGATGAGGTGCCAGCTGTGTTGAAGGGGATGGTCCAGAGATGAATGTCTAACTGGAGAATTACAGATGCAGCAATGTCACGAGCATTTAGAATTTTGTTTGGCCTTGCAAACCACCCTAGAGATCCAATTTCCCCAATTTATCCAAGCAAGTCAGTGGCTGCACTAACTATTCCTCTGCTGAAAGGAGCTCTGAGCAAAGCACAGAAGGATTACTGGTCGTTTGTCAATCTGGTCTCAAGCACACAAAGCACCCTACACACAGAAGAATTCTGAGTGCCTTGCTTGTGTCATTTTTGGGCATTCAATGGTAACTGACTCCTCACCTGCTGTTTAGTTAAGCCCCTCTACAAGGTGCAGCTGTCCTGTAGTGACTTGATACACCTGAGCTTCATAATAAAGCACTAGTAGTTGCTGTTGTGAAGCTGGATTTGGTGTTGTTTCCTCTTCCCAAGGTGTGCCAGCTGCCCCAAACCGCCCCATTGCTCAGGAGAGAAGCTGCACCTCTGTGATCCTACGCTGGCTACCCCCAACCAGTACAGGCAATTGCACCATTTCAGGCTACACTGTGGAGTACAGAGAAGAAGGTAAGTGGTGTGAGCTGGCTATGGGAGTGAGAACATGGCAAGTTTCCTTTATGGCACAACAGGTCCCAAAAGCATTCTTGTCACCACTGTCATGCCACTAATTATAGCTTACAGATCCCAAAGTCTAAGGCAGAAAGAAGCCCTTCTATCATCCAGTCCAGCCTTTCATATATTACAGACCTTTCTGTTTCCTCTGGTCACTTATGACGGGTAAAGTGTGTTAAGCTAAAACGTATCCATCACTAAGGCATCTTTTTATCATTTGCATTTTACCACCATCCTTTCTGGTGGGTGCTTCCCAGAAATGCAAAATCAAATCAGCCTCATTATTTTTTTGATCTGGATAAATTTGCAGATCCCTGCTTAGTTTTCAAGCTCACCTCTGAAATCCATTTGGTTTTAAATCAAACCATCCTTTTTCCCTGAAGAATTAGCTATATATTAAATGCACTGTTTTCCCAATATGCACAGGCACGTGCTCTTGAAAAGGGCATTTGAAATTATTCACAACCCTTTTTGCATTTTTTCTGCAAAGGTATGAGGGTCACTGGGCAGTAAACCTTGCCTTAAATATATGGCCTCTGTTTTTTCCCCTTCCTTCTTCAAAAAACCCTACCCCATCTTACTAAGTGTGTAAATCTAATCACTCCATCATACTGATGCCTAGAACTAGGAAAAGTCCTAGTGAATATTTTCCCTTGACCCACACTGTGCCATCAGTGTGACTGGCATTTTTGTAAAAAAATAAAAGCTTCTTTATTAAGAACAACCACCAAAACAAACATCAAAAAATCCCCAGCAGTGTTTTCAGTATTCCTCCCACTTCAAAGGGAAAACTGACTCTTGTAAAACCAACCATGACCTTGTGACCTGGCAATCAGAACTTGTCCACTGGACACACAAAATAATTGGGTCATGGTAAATAATGTAAAGGTAAAAGGCCCTGAGCTTACTAAAATAAGATAAAACTTTATGTATTTTTGAAGAAATCTCCATCTCACAGAGCTCTGTGTTCCAGGGGTCCTTTTCTGTTCTCTGACCCAGTACAGATGAGTAAAACAGGTTAGGCAGTGGCTGGGTTTGATAGGAGCAGAAACACATGACAGAATCACACATTTCTTTGCTGCAATTCTGCTCATCTGCAAGCTGCCTGTGTTAAGCCTCAGAAAGATTGTTCTCCTCCTGCAGCTTTCACCGTAGCCACCACATCTTCATCAATCAGCACTGGGATTGCACTCACGCCCTGTCTCAGCTTCATCTCCCTTGCCCATAGTTTTGGGGTTTTTTGCAGTATTTCTGCTACTGTTTCTATCATAGCGGAGCTGTCATCAAATCAGCCCTCCACTTCTGTCTTATCACACTGCCCTGAGACATTGCTTGTAGCACACAGCCACAGCTATAGTGCTGGAGAGATCAGCTTGTCCCTGGGCTGAGCTTTTTCTGTCATTATCAGCCAACTGAGGGGCATTTCCTTCTTTTCTCAATTAGCCAGATGGGAAGGTGGTAGCAACACAAAATAGCTTCCTGTGACCCATTTCTGGTTTAACAGTCTGTTGTAACACTGCCTGTTAAAAACCCTGTAGGTTTTACCCTCCCAGAGTTCTACCTAAGTTGGGCAGAGAAAGCCTCAGCCCTGAGCTCACACAGCGAGTGTTTCCCTCAGCTGCCCTTCTGTCCCTCTGTCCAACAGGCTCACAGGTCTGGCAGCAATCAGTAGCCTCAACTTTGGACACGTACCTCGTCATTGAGGACCTGTCCCCAGGCTGCCAGTACCAGTTCCGAGTGAGTGCCAGCAATCCCTGGGGGATCAGCTTGCCCAGCGACCCGTCCGAGTTTGTGAGGCTCCCCGAGTACGGTGAGTGAGCGCTGCAGGGACCGACCGATGCACACCGGGATCCACCTCTGCTCTGCATGGCTAGTTTTGAGGGGTCCTGATAAAAACAGGGATCCTGGGCCAACTAGGATACAAAAAATAGCCTGGGAGATGCTCAGAGCCAACTCCTGGCCACAGAAAGGATTTTTGTGTCTTCACCTCCATCCAGGCTCAGAGCCTGCCTCTGCCACAGAGGCTATTGCAGATTCCGAACATGTCCTGGCTGGTGTCTGTCCTGCCTTTCCAGCAATGCCAGCAGCACCTGCAGCTTCTGCTGGGCAGCCCATATGGGGGCTGCAATTCCACTTGCAAAACATCCCTCCTTGAGCAATGCAGTTGGAATGGGAATGCTGTGATGGAGGCAATTCCCAAGCACTCAGGGCTGCAGGAGTTTGGGGCACAGCTCACTCTCAAGTGCTGTGACCAGAGCCCACTTTTCCCCATGTTGTAGCAGCCCTGCTGTTCAACTACATGTGTGACTGGCTTGGACAGCCAGTGCTGGATGGAGCAAGAGCTGACACAGCATAGCTCTACCCTCTGTCTCTGTAGCCCTTTTCAGCCCAAAACTGCAAGGACATATTTGAGTCCCTCTTATCCTTTCCCTGGTGAGCTCTGGCATTTAGTGGTCCAACCCACTGGAGCTGTGCCTGGGCAGTAGGAAACTGGACTCCTAGTGATAATGTTTCCTGTCTTAATAATGTAGTCTTGCATTATTCTCAAATGTGCTCTTTATAGTCCACAGCAAACTGTATTTAACTTTATACCTTCTTGAATGTTCTTTGTTCTCTCAAAGATTCTGCTGCTGATGGTGCCACTGTTTCATGGAAGGAAAACTTTGACCTTGCCTATGCAGAGCTGCATGAGATTGGGAGGTAATATTAACCCTGCTTATCACTGCAATAAAACACTCAAACAGTGGCTTGAAGCTTTTTCCTTGGTGAGGAGTTTAGGTTACTTTGTAGTTAGGGCTGCTCCTTTCAAAGACCATTGCATATCCAATACTGATGAGAATACTGACTAAATTCTGTTTTCCAAGCTAAGTTCTGATTTGAGAAGTTGGTATCTTCTCTGTCATCTCTGATTTGAGATCCTGTTTTGAAGTCATGACAATTTACTGGTTCTGGATAAGCTTAACCACAAAGACTGAGTTTGCCAAAACACTTGGGCATGTGACTTACTTATCTTTGCTGATTGGGAGGGTGAGTTGAACAGAGCCTAAAGAGGAGCAGCACATATTGTCAGCCCTTGGTGCTCTCCACAGATAACAGATAAGGGACATGCAAATAATTCAGGTTAATGCAATTATTTCATCAGCTCAGATGTCACAGACAATTCTGGGGCTGAAAGGACAGAAGTCCCTCTGGTTCCATAGAAAACAGGGATGCTGTTACTGAGAGCTCAAGTTCAGCACATGGTTTCACTGGGTAGTTTTACTTTCAGGAATGGTACTATGGTCTGTATGAGTTTCCTAAATGCTCTCCTGATAGCTTTTTTCTTAATTTCTTACTGTGTGTCTGAAAAAAATGGTAGGCCAGTGATTATATTACAAGGCTTTTCTTTTAGTTGTTTGAGAAAGTTTGGTTTCTTTAATAAAGCAGCTGGAGAAGGGAGACCCACAGCTAAAATAAAAGGAGATAGAACCTGTAAAAGTGGCAGCAAATTGAACCCAGGGGAGGTTGTTAGAGAATATCAGTATGGCTGCAGAAAGCAAAGTGACACCGTTTGCTTTCAGTGTTTGCTAATCCCCAAAGAATCTCTACACTCAAGGTAAGAGATGGAGGGCCTTTGTTGGAAAAGGTTATGAACAACTTGTTAAACCTGATGCCTTGTGAAATATTAATGGGATGAATCAAAAAAACCTTCAAAAATCACTCTGTTATTGTGCTAAAAGCTAGGCATGATTTATTCATGAGGCCACCTCATTATTCTGTTTTCTTTATAATTTCAGGGGTCGATTCTCCATAGTAAAGAAATGTGTCCACAAAGCCACCCGGAAAGATGTTGCTGTAAAATTCATTAGTAAAAAAATGAAAAAGAAAGAGCAGGCAGCACATGAAGCAGCTTTGTTACAACACTTACAGCATCCTCAGTACATCACTATCCATGATACCTACGAGTCTCCAACTTCTTACATCTTAGTTTTGGAACTGTAAGTAAGCGGAGCTTGGGTTCAAGTGTCTGGGTAGGAATTACAGCCCTATTAAAGCCAAGCATAAAGATCACCCTGAGTTCAGCAGGGCAAAGATTTTATTGATTGAGATGTCAAATGACATAGCCATTTTCTGCAGAGTTTCCACTGCCTTTTCTTTACAGTAAGTAAGATTAAGAGGGGAAAACCACTTTCTAAAATATATTTGGCCAATTTGATTGTTTGTTTGTACAGATAAATAAGCTAGGTGGAAAACTTTTATTGGGTTAGTTTTCCCACAGAAAATATTACCAGCTGAAAATGTCAGTGATTTTTTTTTCTGCATTATGTAACTAGCTCTATAAATAAATAGATGAATCCAAATAATTAAGAAGTTCTGATTCCAAAGGAATTGTCTCTGTCTATTGAATCCTTAAGCAAATGAGTTTACTTTGAGACCGTTGCTAAATTTGTCAAGAACTGGCAATAACAATTGAGGATTAATCATTCTACCACTTCCATGGCCTACAGTATCTTGAGATATCATTAAATACTCATCAGATCTTGCATTTTGTTTTCCTCCCTTTTCTAGGTCACAAAGTTTCCACTGTCATTTTGTTTTCAGATACTAAGTGTTCCTAGAGATGCCATGTGATATTTCATGCTCAGGGTTTGGTTTGTTTGTAGGATGGATGATGGTCGTCTCTTAGATTATCTGATGAACCACGATGAACTTATGGAGGAAAAGGTGGCGTTCTATATAAGAGACACAATGGAAGCCTTGCAGTACCTCCACAACTGCAGAGTGGCTCACTTGGACATAAAGGTAGGAACAAATGAAAATGATGCTGTTATTCTATGCCCTGGAGCAGAGAGTTCCCAGCTGTGCAGCCTGGGAGGAGGTGCAGCCTGTACCCCATGGAGATGATCACTAAATGGACAAGCTGCTGGCCAGAGAAAGGAGTTACTGACATGCAGTGCCAGGTCTTTGCCCTCACACAAGAAATTCACCTTTTCCCTTGATTCACTGGTTTGTTCCCAAGGGCTTTCTGGATTTAATGAAGGAGAACCAGGATGTCTGAGAGACAAGAGTGAGATCTCACTAGCACCTGTCTGAAGGGAAACCATGAGTAATTCTATGGAGTACGGTTTGGGCTCACACTGTACCAACTCAGCCACCAACCTTCCTGAGCAGAGCTGGCTTGTGCCAGGCTGGCAGGGGCAAAGGAAAAGGAAAGCCGTACCCTACGTTGTGCTGCAGAGCCTGAGAGGGGAACTGCAAGGGAAATATACCCAGGGAAGGATTCAGAGGAAGAACAAAGGACAAGTGGCACTGTGGAGATGAAATTGGGGTATTCTCTAACGTCACACCAGTACAGCTTGTACCTGCTTTTGTGAGCACACATGGCAGGAGGCACTGTGCTGTCCTGGATTTGGCATTATACTCTTGTCCTCCCCAGCAACCCAGTTATCTTGGATGACAGAATTAGCCATTCATGGTGTGATCAAGTGTTTCAAGTTTTGTGATCTGTAACATTGATTCTGGTTGCCAGGGATATCAGATAATCTATAACACTTCGCAGATTTAAATGACAATTAAAAATGGGGAATGAGGGATGAATTTAACTTTCCTATATAGTGGACAATCCAGCTTTAAGGAGATTTCTCATCTCTCCAAGCCCCAGGCATGCCAGATGAACTAATACTTTCTACCCCTACAAAAAATTCCATTTGTACAGGACCTTAGATGAGAATTAGACAAAATACTAAATCAACCTGGTTTCTTTCTATGCAATTGTTTGTATTTTTTGCCCTATTTATATAACTTGTCAAAAAGTAGGTGTTACTTGGAGGTAAGAAACTGCAATTAATTCTCTGTTTGATTATTATATACTTCCCAAAAACAAGGTGGGAAGCTAATTTTCTGTGACCTATTTGCAGTTTCCCTGAATGAGGGATGCTAAATAAAGAGCTTTCTGTTGCTAAGTGGGAAGCAGGAGATGCACTGGCAGTGACAGCAGACCTATCCATGGACTGTGTTGTCCCAGGATCCTGCTCAAGGATGTGTTGATTTTGTCAACAGAGACTGCACAAGAGAAGAGCAAGTGGAGAGACTGGAACAGCCATGTTAACTTTGCTTTACATATATATATTTGTATGCCATGAGGCAGCAGTAAAATATGCATGAGGATAAAGGAGAGAAAAAAAGATATAGAAGGGTGCAAGAAGTAAATTCAGAAATCATCTAAGAGCCAACAAAGGAAGGATAATCCATGTTAAATCCCCAGAACAGAGTGTATAGGCAATGCTCAGTATCTCTCACTGAGAGAGAGAGACATTAAATACTGAGAGCTGCTAAAACAGAGAGAAACCAACAGGGATGAAATGTAATTCCATGCTGGCTTGGAAAGCATGACTGTGTCCTGGTGTGTATAGGGGCAGACTGGCAGCTCCATGTCAACTGTAATGGCACACACCAGTCCCTCCCAGGGTAAGGGGTGCAGAACTGGACATATACTTCATGAAGAACATTTCTGCTACAAGTTACACACACTTAGCCAGCTGTCATCTGAATAAATGGAATCTCAATAAACTGATCAGATATATATAAATCCTATTAAAATTTAAAAATCCGTCAGTGCTCTTAATCAGAAGAGATTAGTTTGGGAAAATGAACTGTAAGTATTCAGGACAAAGTGCAAAATCCCAGTGTGTTGCCCTAGTGCAAAAGAGGATCTTGTCATTGCAACTGCAGCATTGATCTGAATTTAGAGGAAACAGCAGCTGGATTGGTTCCTTATCATTCACTCTCCTGATCTCTCCCTTGCACATCTCATTAAATGCAAGTTTTTGATTGGCTGTTAAGCCTGCATGAATCCTACATATTTTATTTGCAAAAATATAGTTACGATTAAGTTTATATCATTATCTTTTCAACAGCCAGAAAATCTGCTCATTGATTTAAGAATCCCAGTGCCTCGTGTCAAGATCATTGATTTGGAAGATGCAGTCCAGATCACAGGTCATTACCATGTCCACCACCTCCTTGGAAACCCGGAGTTCGCAGCCCCTGAAGTTATCCAAGGCCTTCCCGTGTCCCTGAGCACAGATATCTGGAGCATCGGGGTCCTCACCTACGTCATGTTAAGTGGTGTCTCTCCATTCCTGGATGAAAGCAAAGAGGAGACTTGCATCAATGTGTGCAGAGTGGATTTCAGCTTCCCGCACGAGTACTTCTCCGATGTGAGTCACGCCGCCAGGGACTTCATCAACGTTATCCTCCAGGAAGACTTCAGGAGAAGGCCGACAGCAGCCACTTGTTTACAGCATCCGTGGCTGCAGCCGCACAATGGCAGCTATTCCAAGATCCCACTGGATACCTCCCGCTTGGCTTCCTTCATCGAGCGCCGCAGGCACCAGTACGACGTGCACCCGGTCCCCAGCGTCAAGAGCTTCCTGTTGAGCAGGATGAAGCCGGGCACGTAGTGCCTCCATCCACGGGATCCCACGCTGCCGGTCCCGAGCCGGGAGCGCCGCCGGGAGCGCGCGGATCCGTCTGTACATATCCCATGTTCGGTGTTTGCGTTCCACCACTGCAGGGGGCAGTCACTGCGGACCTGGCAATCGGACCAAGGCAAAGGTGGTGACAGCAGCGGGGACACGCTCCGTCTCTTGGGGCACCTGGTATTGGCACATCCACCAGCAAAAAGGGACTGCAGCAAGCAAACACCTACTGGGAATGAGAGCCAAAATTGCAGTTGCCTTAATCTTTGTGAGGCAGCCTTATAAGAAATCCTCTTGATCTTGCTGAGCTGAATTTAAAATGTACAAAAGAATAGGAATAGGATGGGGGGGAGGGGGGTTGGGAGTGAGACCAGGCTGACCTTAGCATGTACTGCAGAACTGGACTGGTCAGTTTTTGCTGAAATCATTGCAAGCCTGCTCCAGATTATCAGTCAGATTTCTCATGCCCCATATGCCCAGATCTGCCATGATTTCAGTGGGGACTTTGCCTGCATAGGACATGCAAGATCAGGCTCCAGTCACTGCTGGATCAGCTCTCATGGTGGCGTGGCTTAGGTACACTCATGTTGCATGGTAGTGCTCAGACCAAAATCCTCCATTAAGCCCCTCCTTGGGCTTTCTGCTGTGTTAAGTCAATGTGCAGCACCTTTTGGAGCTACGATTAAGGCAATGAATTCATTGGAGCATGCAGCTGGTTCTGATTAAGCACAATGGGACTACGGTGGGTTTTTTAAAAGCATTTTATACACATTGTACAGAAATCTTTTGCAAAACCTGTGCATTGAGAAAAGGCAAAGTCCAATTTTTGCAGTATCTGTAAACTAGATGATGATGGTGATGAAGACAATTTTTTCTATCACAGGTTTTCAGTATACATATATTGTATCATAGATATAAATATATATAAATATAAAGGATCCTGTTCCATTTCTAGCTTCGGAATTGCTTGGCCCAAAGTCCATCTAAACCTTTCTGAGTGCAGTAGGAGTGGTGAGTTCATTCTTGCGCTTACAGCTTGAAAATTGTTTTCAGTGTTTGAAGTATGTCATTTGTTTCATTTCCAAACTTGTAAATAACTTCAGCCACCATTAGTACCTCATAACCAAAGCATTCATGAGGATATTTTTATGTCCAAAGCCTAATTTGTAATAAAAAAAAAAAATATTCACAATTGAAACATTTCTCTCTTGCAAGCCAAGTTGCAACATCATCATATTGATGTTAGAGTGATGGAACCAGCCTTAGGTATAACCAACATAGGGAGTCTGCAGTGACAAATCAGCAGTTTGTAGGTTGGCCAGTTCTTCCTTTCCAGAAATGGGACTGGAAGGGGAAACCAGCTGGGGCTTCCCCATCCTACTGCCACACCACAAAGCTCTACAGCCTTGAGGGGTTATGATCAGAGATTTTTTTTCCCCTGGCATGTGGGGACTTTGTCTCGGTGCTGAGTACCATTTGTGTGCCTGTAATGGGAAATGGCAGTTGTTACCGAAGGTTTTCCTAAGGAAAAGGGCTTGATCTGACTGCCTGTGCTCATACAGACTTTCTTGTAAGGGAGAGAGTCACATCTCATTTACCATCTGAGTAACTGCACTGTGAGCCTGCAGGAGCAAGTGCTGTCTCTGCCAGCAGGTGGTGGAGATGCCCTGCAAGGACTATTAAATTCTCAGGGCTCTGATAGCCCTTTTTTGATCCACCTTCAAGCTCCCTTTCACAGCAAGGAGGAGACCTGGCCCTTCTCTTTGTGCTTGCTCTATCACTACACCAGAGTGGTCAGTATTTTGTTAGTGGAGAAGAGGCACAGCAAAAACCCTCAGCACTCAGCACTGAGTGTGTGCAACAAAGAACAGCCCGTGAGATTGGGAAACCACAGGCAGAAGTGAGCCCTGGTGTCTCAGCAGAGTCAAAAGCAGTTCTGTGAGAGAACTAATGCAGGGAGGGTGTGGAAAGGTTTGAAAGAGACAAGTGTTCACAGAAGATTAAGCTTTTTGAATCATCTAGAACCTATCTCAGTTCCTCTCTAAAGCAGCAGCTGATTTTCTAAGCAATCCAGCAGCACCCCTTAGATAAAAACCAGACTCATCCTGAACAACAGTGCAAAATATGCAATTTCTTAGCAACTGAATACAGACAGCAGTCAAGGGGGAGTCTCTAATTACCACCAGCCTCAGGTACTTTCTCACTACAAGACTGTCTGTAATTCTTCCTATTTGTCAAAGCTGATTCTTTGTGCTGCAATTGTGCTGCCCTTAAAAATGTTCATGGAAGTGTGGTCTGTAAAACCCACAGCTTTTATTAGGCCAATGGGTACAGTTTAAGCCACAGGCTTTCTGCTTGGCCTTAATACAAACAAATTCTCATGTGTCACATGAAATTTGGAATTATTTAGCATTTTGTTTTCCTACATCCCACATTCATATGTCGAACTACAGCAGCAGACACTTTGGATGCACAGGGGGAAAAAGCTGGACTGTTTAGTATAATATTTAAGCTTCTCATTGCTATCAAATAACAGAAAAGAAAACTCAAAAGGCTGAAAGAGAGAGGATATATGATTAGGTATTGGTGCTCAGATTCAAAAAAGACTCCTTGTTGAGAGAGCTGGAGGGGCTGAAATCTGAAGATGTTGAATGTTCTGGGGTTCTTTTGTGGTTTTTTTTTTTTTCCCATATTTGTGTTAGAACACCTCTTCCTGGACTCCATTCTTCTTACAGTCTATTCAGGAATACTTGAACCAGTCAGAACTTCCATATAACATTTGTGATTATCAACTGTTCTTGCTTTTGCCTGAATAATAACAAGTTGGCATGCGATGCTGCCATATGATAAATGCAGAGGAAGTGTCCTGACTTTGCTCTTTCAAAGTCTTTTTAAGCTGACTTGTGGTGCCTCTGCAGATACAATAGGTCCTGTAACTGTTGAAAACTGTAAGGCCATTGTAAAGAGATTTCAGAAGCTCAGTAAGCAGGCCTGGAGTGCACCCGCTGGGTGAGAAGCACCACAGCCAACCCCCTGTGTAGCATTCTCCAGTGAGTGGATTTTTTGGTGCATGAAATATTGTCTGTAACAAACACAGTTTCTCAGTGAGACTCCCCAGAGAATATCTGACCTGAGGGGAAGATTCCACCTGCAGCTGTGTACCACTCAGGATGTTCCCAAGACAGCTTGAGGGCATGGTGGTAGCTGCACCCTTTAGCTTCTCCAGCAGCTTCCAGCCATCCAGGATGAACAACAGGAATACTGACAACAGTGCACCACAAGCTCTGTGTGCAGTGGCACTGTGCACACAGCCACCACCCTCAGGCATCTCCACAGTGCTCTGACCCTGCTCTGACATCAAAGTGTGGCTCACAGTGTCCCCAGGTGCTGGGTGGCAGGGGGGCAAAGGTGCTGGTGACACAGAGCCCAGAGAACACAGTGACATGGGCTCTCCTTATTTAAGACGGCTTCATTTAATGAGTGTGCAATGAGAAATTAACTCGCCTCTCTCTCTGTTCTGCTTGCAGCAGCCAGGCCAGGGCAGGAATTCTGCTGGCCAGTGTAAACTGTCAGCCCCCATCAGGTGTTGGGACACTTGCTGCCCTGTGGGAGGCCCCAGCTACCCCCAAGCTGCCAAGTCCGCTGTGTCTGGTACTACAGGGATGATACACAGCTACTCCAGCGTTGTAGACTTTAGTATTTTAAAGCAATCCAGGCTTTGAAATTTATAAAATGTCTCTCTCTTCTCCATGATATCAACAACTTTCATTTAGTCTTACTGCCCTTTCTTTTTAAAAGACTATGGATTGGGTTTTTTAAGTAACATGTATCTTTTTACTTCTAAGTTAATGCTGTGACAAAGTCCGTGCCCTCAACTGACCCCTGAGGCTGTGGCTTCAGTGGAGTTCCTTAACATTTCTGACAATGCCATTAGGCCTTTGCTACAAATACTGTGTATAAAGGCTGAATGCAGAACCACACGTTATAACCTGACTACATATAACCCTATTTTAATGGCCTTGCAATGACACTTACTGTGTCAAGTAACCTAGGATAATACAAGTTTCAGAGACAGATGTGCACATAAAGGTCTAACACAAAATTTACATGCACAGGGGCTCACCACCTTTTTTTATTCTTTTTCCTTCCACAGCAGAGGTGGATTCTCCTCTAACACAGGGCTTGGGTTTATTTTCAAGCTCATTCACTCGTGTCCCATCAGAAAATGGTGCTTTCCCAAGGAAACAAAATCAAATCCCATTTTACTAGGCTGACTGCACACTGCCATCAAGTGATGTACTCTTGTTCTGGGATCTGTATAGTGCTGAGTGTTTCCATAGCGTCAGGATGCTGAATGTTTGCTGTTTGTAGTCTTTATTATGGAGCTAGTGAAAAACCAACATCTTCTCTACTCAAGCCATATTTCACTTTCATGTCCAACTTCTGATGCTGGTGCTTTTACTTCTCTTTCTACCAAACTGTTCAACACTGCTCTGCCACTGAGGTCAATTTGCTGATAACTTTTGGAAAGCAAATGCAATAGCAAGTGAAAAAAAAAAAAATAAAATCAATCTCAGACTTATTCACCGAGATAAGAGCAAACAGTTGGAACGTACTGATGCTTTTCAATCCTAGCAACAATCCACTGAAGGAGGAAAAAAGAAACAGTATTGCTAACAGCTCAGCATTTTCAAGGTGCAAAGTAATTCCACAGCCTTAATTATTTCAGTGTATTGCTGGTCTGCCTTAAATGTATCTTCAGTTTTATTGCGGATTTCATTTTGTATGCACACAATGTTGGTTTGTAAAGGCAGGTTTGTAAATATTTCCTTTGTAAGTCTAATCACTCATGTGTACTGTTGTGAGGTGACTACTTGCTGTCCCATGTTGTTGTTACTATACTGCGGTATGTATGATCATCTACAGATGTAGCTTCGACTTGTACATCTCCTGTCCTTGCATTCCCATAAATAGAGTATACTAAAGACTCCGTTTCTGGGCTTTTTTGATTAAATAAAATTATTCAGAGAAGACCGGGTCAGTCTTATTTCACACGTGTGGCATCTTTCTGAGCGAGCCCTTGGAGGCTCGGGGCTGGCTGGGGGCATTACTGAGCTCACGTTTTCCGGAGGGATTGTCACCCTGGCCGCACGCACCGAGCGCCCTTTTGGGAATCACCCGCGGAGCCGACCCGGCGACAAGCCCTCGGGTCACACATCAAATCCTCTTCAGCGGCCTTTGCTTCTCGGGGGAATGGGGTGACGAGAGACCTGGGAATCGTGGATGGGGGAACGGGCCCGGGGCAGCAGGGCAGGGATGGCGCAGGGGGCTGCCGCGGCGGGCAGGGGTGCGGGACGAAATGCAATAGCAAGTGGGGTGTCACACGGCTTCCCCGGGTGTCACACGGCGCTCCCCGGTTGTCACACGGCTTCCCTGGGTGTCTCCCGGTGCTCCCCGGGTGTCACACAATGTCCCCGCCCCGAGCCCCTCCCTCTCGCATCATCTCGGTGCGCCGGGCCCGGCCATGGCGGCGGGGCCTGCGGGGGCCGTGGCGGCGGCGCTGAGCGGGGCGGGCGCGCTGCGCTTCGGGCACTTCGTGCTGAAGAGCGGCCTCTCCTCCCCCGTGTACATCGACCTGCGCGGCCTCGTGTCCCACCCGAGCCTCCTCCGGCAGGTGCGGACCGGGAGCCCCGGGCCGGGCCCCGCGTGTGGCCCTGCCCTTGGCGGGGCCCTCACCCTCAGGGCAGCGGGGACCCCGCAGGGTCGGCTCTCGGGTCGTGTCAGGCAGAGAGGTTTTCATTGACTTAGCCACGTTCGCGCCAGCCTGGCTCTTAAAAAGCTTTTGGTTTTCCTTTTTCTAGGTTGCAGGACTTCTTTTCCAAGCGGCCCGAGATGCGGGTCTGGAGTACGACTGTGTGTGCGGCGTTCCGTACACGGCGCTGCCGCTGGCCACCATCATCTGCTCGGAAAATCAGGTCCCGATGCTTATACGGAGGAAGGAAGGAAAAGACTACGGTAAAGCTTTCAAATCAAGAGTTTGCAACTTGCCTCGTTTGGGAATTGTATTTATGTAATTTGTGGTTCTTTTGTACGGCACAGCATCCCTGTTCCAGTTTAAGGTTACCATTGCAATTTAAGAATCTGCAGGCCCTTTCCCCCTGAAGCAAACTCCCACAGCATCACAGCCTGATCAGCCTCTCCCAGCTGATTGCCGTTTAGGCTTTTAGGCTGCAGCTTTAGTCCTGCTCTAGGAGATTTGGAGTTTCTTGAAGGGTGTTTTCTGTTTCTTTGGTTTTGTTTGGGAGAGTTTGTTTCTTTTCTTTAGCAATATCTTTTTTTTTTTTTTTTCCTTTTTTTTTTTGTTTTAAGGA